AACCTGGTCGCCTAGTCTTCCAATCGAAGGCTTTCTCAGGCTTCACAGAAGAGCAAGATAGTGCGACACATGTCTCAACGAACACATCGTTCAAGTTTGCTTACAAAGCACGGGGAGAATGAGCGGTCGGAGGGCAGTTCGAAGTTGGGAGAGACGGAAGTGTGGCCAATGAGATGCAATCGAGGGAAGGGGGTGGAGAAAGATGTGGAGTGAAGAGGAGCAGGGGCTTGCAAGGGAGACAATGGCAGTTTTGGAGAGGCAGTAGGTTTAGGGTTTCGTGGGGGGAGGAAAAAAGTCACCGTTTATGAGCGGCGGAGCGAGAAGACTGGCATCGCTGGACGGGGGAGTTGGTGGTCGCCATCGTTGTATGAATCGATGGGTGACTACATGCCCATGTCGCAGGATGTGCAAGCGTAGCATGCAATTCGGTGGTGGACCTCGTTCTTACCCGCGGCGATACACGATGTAGAGGTGCCTCGAGATGACGCATTGGGTGGGGTGTCAAGGACAAAGACTCGATGAGGAAAAATATACACCAAAAGGCTATCTCGATATAATAAGTCAAAATATAAACAAGTAGGTATATTAAAAGGAAACTGGAATGGCTATTCCCACAAGACAAGAAACTAAAGACTCTTGAACCTGGACTAGAAGCAAGAAAGGAGTTGACAAGAGTGAAGAAGCCTTCACTCTTGTCTCTATATATACTATCTAACTAGGAGCTACGTGGCGACGTTCTATAGGACCTCCAATATGTGTTGACTTTGTAGGACACATGCCTTGACTTACAAGGCAAGTTTTTCTACGTGTGGGCCACATAGTTAGCTTGATCTTCAAGCTAACAACATGTGTGGCACATGGCCAACTTGTTGACCACGTTTCTAATCCAAAAAGTCAATTAAAGACACCTATGAAGTCAAAGCAGCGTCTAGGAAGTTTCTAAGAAGCTTCTATATTAAATATTATACAATTAACTTACTTTTATCTACTTTTACTTACTTCTACCTATTTCTATATGTAATTATTAGCTTACATGATTATGGCCGTGACATGGGGTGTACCAGAGGAGCCACAGCTTTTGGGGGTAGGGTTTAGGGTTGCACGCATTCAACAATTTCTTTTGGAGCCCGTCGAGGTCGTCGATGTCCAAGGGTGAGTTTTCGGGGTTTTCGATGGCAAAGGAGGAGTCGCGGATCGAGGCGGGGAGCGGTGAAGGGGGCTTTTATGAGGAGGCAGGAAGGGAGCAAGTCGAACGGACATGCGAGGGTTGAAGTTGGGATCGACGTCACTGCTAGGAGCTGAGGGACCTGGTCGCTAGGATTACAAATATTTTTTGATGCGTCGTTCAACAATTTTGTGTCATCGAAGAACGAGGACGAGGAGGCGTGGCCAGTGATAGACATGTACGGGTGCAATGAGTTCCGAATGTTGGAATTCTAGGTGAGGCGATGTATGAGAGGGAGGAGCCATGATTGGACGGAGGGCCCATTTGCCCACCCGGGCGAGAAAGTTAGGCGTTGCAATCCGCGGCAATACGACTACTCGAGGACAACGTGTAGGGAGTTTCGAAAAAGGGAGCTCTCGGAGAGGCGATGCGTGCGAGTTTGGGTGCATTTAAGTATTTGAGTATTGGCTACATTTGGCTGGGTACTTAGACGCAGCCGTGCAAGGATGGGCAGAATTACCATCATCAAGTGTGGTTTTTGGTGCATACGTCGGAGCAGCTGCGTTGGATGCCTGCGACGACACATGAAGCGACGAGAAGAAATCGGAGCACAGGACGTCACGAAGGGTTGCCACGAGCCGGTGCACGGAAGAGCTACGATCGGGCGTCGAGGTACGAGAACTTATCTCATGACAAACCATCGGGACGTGACGGTCTGAGCAAGTCGTTGGAGCACTCGAGCTCGACCCACTGGAGTGTAGGATATGCGACATTGTAGAATTCATTGCCTAGGTCGATGTTGGTCGGGCTCGCATAGTACCCCCTACCGCTGAGCCCTCTGTTGTCGGGGTCTGTTGTCGGGGTCGGTTGAGAAATGGGCGTGATTGTGGGGTGATTAACGAGCATGTCGATGTCTAATTTTGCAGAATTTATAATGTGACTACAAGTGATGCTGCAGTAAGCGGCGTAGTCTCGAAGGCTGCACTCACGGATGCATTGGAGGTAGGCACCAACGTCGCTTGCGGGAGTCTTGCAGAAGTCAAAGATGGAGCTGATATTGACTCCGTCGACGATGATCCTGATGGAAGGAGAGCCGATGGTGCAGCAGGTGGAGAGCGGGCAAAGACATAGGGGCGAGCAGCCTGAAGGACTCTCTCGACCTGGACTAGGTGAACCACCTATCTATGGGGGATTGCTTTGAGTAAGCAGAGTTTTGTATGCATTTAGACTCCATATATAGTTCTCTCATGAGAAAAAATATGCAAGTTAGAACTCTAATCAGGGTCTGAAGACCCTAATTAGGATTTTCAAACCCTAAATTACAGAAAACGAAACACATTTTTTTGAAAAACAAAATCATTTATAGAGGTCTTTGGGTGATTTTAAGCCTTGGCAAAATTTTACAACAGAAAAAGCTATTACATATTGAGAGATATTGAGGATGAAAAACCTCTAGGACACCCATGTAAATCCTAAACCCTAAACCCTAAACCTTGGTCGCAATAGTGGTGCATATTGGAAAAAGGATGGAGTGTATGAAGATCATGTTGGAGGAGCTCGCCACTTCATTCAAGAATATGGTGCAAATTGGCGGAATCATGTTCAATCCATTGCATAGGCTTAGAACACATATAATATAAAGTTAAATCATATGTACATATAGTATAAATATGATATTTTTCAAAAAAAAAAAAAAAAAACATTTACTTATATAAATTATTCAATATATTATTATAATGTCCAAAAGTCTCTATGTATTTATTTCATATTTTTATAATATTTTTTTCATATATTAATGAAAGGCAAATTTTGCTATTTTGAAAATCTCATATCTCCTAAACTATTAATTTGCTGAAAATTTTAAACATACCATTGGAATCAGAAGCATGACAAATAGGGGGGTAGGTCAAATCAAAAATTCAAGACAACAAAGTACACAAAAAGTCAACAGAAAATTGTATCAAGTCAAACGCCTTATATCTCAAAATTGAAAAACATGTATAGGATTTCAAGACCATCACTAGATTCCTAGACCCTTAAAATAGGGGGGTAGCTCAAATCAAAACTTCAAAATTCCTATTCATATGCAAAGTCAACTCAAAAGTCAAAATAGTCAAACATTTAATAACTACAAACATATGCACCTTTTCAAAACTTCAAGCACATATTTATAATTGGCAACCCTCAAACAAATCCAATGGACTTTTCAAAAATTTCAAAAAGCCTTGTATGACAAAAGTCAAAACCCTAAACTCCAAGTCAAAGTAGCTAAATCTTCCAAACTATAAACTTGTATAGGAAAAGAATTATACCATTGACATCCTAGACACCATAAATGGGGGGGTAGGTCAAGTCAAAATCCAAAAATAATGATGCCCAAAAACCGGGGACACCCTTGTAACCCTAAACCCTAAACCCTAAACCATGATTCTACAGAGAATTACAGATCCCACTTTTTTACATAATTTCATCTAATTATACTTCAAATTTGTCTAAAGTCTTCTTATGAAAGTTTTATCAATTTAGTATTAAAATAAAAGAAATGACTATTATATATATATATATATATATATATATATATATCTTAAAATGTATTTTGGTTAGTTGCGTTTGATCACATATTTAACACAAATTCTTATCAATTCATCTTTGAGTTTATTGTCATATATATATATTAGGTTGTTAGTAGTACATATTTAATAATTTTTTAAAGCCATATAATAATTTCTTCAACTATCTTTTTATTTTAAAATGATGATGCAATTTTGTTGCAAACATATGAATTTTTATATCTTATCTTACATTTAGAACAAAGGTCTCAAAATTTTGGAATAGCATGAATTTATTTTTTTCTAAATTATAATTTTATATCCTAAATATAAAAATGGATTTCTAATTTAATATTTTCAAAATTAAAAGTATTAATTTTTATCTTTAATTTTTTTATTTCAAATCTTACATCATTAAATTTGGTACTTTAGTTATACAAATTTAATTCCTAAATCTTACATTTTATAATACATTTGCATATACTATAAATCCTAAATTCTAAATCCAAAATTATATAACTTGTATTATATAACTTAAATTATACATTCTATAATTTATAGCTTAAATTTAAATCTATATATTTTGTATTATTAAATATTTATCTTTAATTAATTGTAAATTTTAAACCTTAAGTCACCAATCTAATAATAATACTTTAAAAGGTTATATTCTTTATAATTTTTTTTTTCTTAACCACATAGTTTATGATTTAAAATATGTAAAATAAGTTTTGAAAATCTAAATTGAAATTTTTTATTCTTTAATTTTTTAATATTCTTAATTTTTTTATTTTTATGAACCAAGTTTTATTTAATCATTGTTTTTTTTTTTAATGCTAGACAAATTCTATTTTGAATAATTTGTGTTCTTAGTGTTTGTAGAGTTGGATGATCAGCTAGGTACAATTTCACATTTAAAGGAGTGTTTTCACAAAAAGTTGAATTTCATTTCTTAGTATTATTATTAGGTGAATGTTTAATAGATCCGTACCTTTACTAAATATACCCATCTTTGATGAAGAATATGGTAATCATGATGAATGTGGTTGGGTTTTATTGGTTAGAGACCCAATAATAAGGAAATAAATCTATAAATCATTATTTTTTGCATGATGGTCACTATGGGCAGGGTTAGTTTTTTAAAAACTTGGGTCTATTGAACATTCGCATATTAATAACATGATATGAAGTGTGGAAAGAAACATCCAGTGTGGTAGAATACGAAATATTATAACACTGGTCTGAAGTAGCCGAGGAATGAAACACGCCTAGTTGCATGTGCTGTGAGGATCCTTGATTGCGAAAGTGTTGTGTCCAGACTCATAACCCTAATTAAGTATCGAGGACAGCCCCTTACCCTTCCCTTCCTCAGAGGAGAAGAAGATACCGTCACAGCATCTCCGCACGTCCTTTCATTCTGAAGTTGCATCGGTGCACTCGGGCCTTTCACATGCATGGATACTGTCCCGTGGCGTTGCATTCTGTGTGATCTCATGTACTCCGGCGAATTGAGCGACCAGATTCCGCAAAGTGAGGTAGGCGAGAAGAAGAGAAGAAAGGAGAGGTGAGGTGACGAGACGGGGGAGGTGGGAGTGGCTGTGACTTGTTCTGTGGGAGGGCATTTGTTGTGTGTGTGTGGCAGGTTATTCCGCTGTAGCCATCCCCCTTCTAGGTTTCCGGGCACGCCTCAGATGCTGCGACCGCTGACCTTCAATCGTTGCACGCGTTGTGTACTGTTATAGCCGACTCCTCTCCCATACCCTCGACGAGCCCTTTTTTTCTCTACTCGCTAGGTTTTCATGGTCACAGTGTTATTGTTTCCTTCACAGCTGGTTTTCCCTCTGCGGTTCTTGAGTTTCTCTTTCCTTGGGTTCTTGACATCGTCTCGATGCACTTGGCGTTCACTGTCAAGCTCTACATGCTGTTTTGAAGCCGGCCTTGTCGCGGTAGAATTTGCGCCCGGGTTTTTATCAGCCGTCGTCCAAATGATTTACACTGCGCTTGACACCTTTTATGTCACGGACGAGCAGCTTTCGAACTCGCCATCCCGGAAAGATGGGATTGATGACAAGACTGAATCAATCCTGCGTCGGTTTGGTTGTGACCTCGTGCAGGAGAGCGGTATCTTGTTGAAATTGTATGTCACCGCACTTATCTTTTGTTGATTATCTCGCGAATATCGACTTCTGTGTTACTCCTTCGTGTTATTTTAAAACTGGGTTTAAGAAGCCTCGTGTCTCGTGGTTCTCGATGCTGTGTGCTGTCTCTAGGTTTTCAGGGGGTGATGTGGCTCTTTTATTTCGACGTGTTCTCATTGCTGCTGAAATTCAATTTTTTTTTTTGAAGCATCTTCGGTGATGCTCATGAATTATGAGTATTTTTTCCATATCTATCTCTAGGTAATGGAATTAACTCTTGTATGTACATTCACAGGCCTCAAGCAGTGATGGCGACGGGGCAGGTTCTGTTTCATCGATTTTATTGCAAAAAATCTTTTGCACGATTTAACGTTAAGGTAAGGAGACACTCTAATTACCTTCGATAATCAATTTCAGGATGCTCAATTTTTGCGAGAGTGTATCTAGCGCAAACCCTAATTTCACATATGCATAGAATGGATCCAAGTCGGAACTTGTTGTCCTTGTATAATGGGTTTTTTGGCTTGATCATCATTTTTTCAATTCAGAATGCATTTCTCAAGTCCAAACTGACAGCCACTAATCATATATGATTATTATTTGCAACCGCTCGTTATGTGGTCTAGATAATTTGTGAGATCATGGGTGTTCGTTTTACCGCTCATTTTGCTTGGTACGGCTGAACTTACTCCTGTCTAATTGCAGAGGGTGGCAGCGAGTTGTGTCTGGCTAGCTGCTAAACTTGAAGAGAGTCCTCGTAAAATTCACGAAGTCTTGCAAGTCTTCAATCGCATGGAGCAGAGACGGGGAAATTTGCCCCTTGAGTTTTTAGAGTTATCTTCACAGGTAATGTCCTCTTTTCCATTCTTTCAACGCATTGGCTGCCTTCACTTGCATTCTCTACCATATGAGACATGTCAGAGATTCAATTTAAGGGTTCGATGTTGTGAGAACGCACGAGTACTGGAGTGTACTTTGTTCATGCTAACAAAGTATTTTAATCTGCAGAAGTACGAGGAAATGAAAACCGACTTGATTAGGACAGAGCGTCATCTGCTGAAGGAGATGGGATTTATTTGTCATGTAGAACATCCTCACAAGTTTATTATAAGCTACCTGAAGGTTCTTGCTGCTCCTTCAGAGCTGATGCAAGTTGCGTGGAACCTTGCAAATGACAGGTACATGCGTAATTCAGTTCTGTTGATGTTCATAGTCACGCGCTCGTATGTGCTGCAGCAGTGGTAAATTCTGACACTACGTGAAGTCTACATTATTTAAATATAATGAATCAATTCATTTGACGGTATGCTCATGTTGGGATATTGTTAGGGCTGATAGGGTTGTGTTCTGTGTGTTGCAGCCTACGATTAATCCTTTGAGACGGGGTCAAGAAACTTCATTTCTTGCGTTGGTCAAGGAAGAGCTGATGCAAATTGTTTTTTATTTTTTTATTTTTTATTGCAGCTTACGGAGCACACTCTGCGTGCGTTTCAAAAGTGAGGTTGTCGCGTGTGGAGTAGTTTATGCTGCGGCTCGAAAGTTTAAAGTTCCATTACCTGACAGGTGGTGGGAAGTGTTTGACGCTGAATGGAGTGATGTTCAAGTAGTCTGCAAGGTCCTTGCAGAGTTATACAAACAACCGAAAGGTTATTACATTGAAGTTGGAAGAGACCCCAAGTCATTTGTGTTGACCAGCAAATCCTGGGATATTTCTACCGAGGCACAGGCAAGTGAAATAATTTTTACCTTGTCTGTCCAAGATCTGCATCTTCACAACACTAACTAGGTTGCACTCCTGGTGTTGATATTATTTTGAGGTAATTACTCATCGAAAGGTATCCTTTTAATATGGGCTTATATATTGCAGGAAGGGCTTATCAGAACCATGGTAAATGGAGCTGTTTCTGTTGAGCAGGTACCGACCATAGTAAGCTCAGATGCTGGTGCACAGAAAGGACCAGCTTTCAAAACGCCAGTAGACAATTTGAAGCCCGAAATTGTCAAGGATAGGAGTCATGATCTTGACGAAGTACGCAATCCGAATGCTAATGGTGATTCGAGGGATGATCCTGGAGTAGGAAAGGAAAAGCCTTTCAATCATATTGAAGATGAAGGAAGGGATAAGAGTAGGGATAAGGATAGGTCCAGGTCCAGGCTTCGCGAGTCTCGAGATATTGCCCGGGATCATGACGCTGAACGAGAACGGGCACGAGTTAGGGATCGGGACAGGGAAAGGAGAGACAAGGAACGAGAGCGCGATGAGCGGGAAAGCACAAAGGGGCGGGGCTACAGCCGGAAGGAAAGGGGAAGGGATATAGGTGAGACTGAAACTATCTGGATTGACTGATCTGAAATGACTGAACTAATGTCCTCTTTGGATACTCTTTGTTGAAAGAGCCATGTTGATTTTATGCTGTTGATCATTTTATTGCCTTCGATTCGTTTTCGAGTAAGTCGTGAATCATTTTATTCAAAACTCCCGCTCATTTGAAGTGGCTCTTTTGAACCCCCAGACCTTGTTTTTGTGAACCTATTATTCACAGGGCTGTCTTTTCATGTGCATGAATTATTTTACCTTTTATTTGTTAAAATGCTTGTAGGTGTATCCCTGGTTTGTCTCTACTTAGAGAGGGGTGTTCCTGTGTTTTCCTGTTTAAAAAAGTCGTGATCCCACTAGATGAATACTTGTTGTCAAGGAGTTGATAATAGGTGTGTGATATGTGCGTGACAGTTTTTTCCGCCGGCCAGCAGCTGTTGAATGGCCTTCGCTATCCGTGCAAGAGCTTGGTGCACATGCTTTTGCAGGCATATTGTAAATACTGACGTGTTGGGGCTACTGTCTAAGTTGATACCGTGAGGCCGTTTAACAGTTGTGCTGGTAGGGTATTTTAGTTGCAGTTGCTGTTGCTAACGTCAGATCTGCCCTTGAAGGTCAGTGTATATGTTGGATGAAGCGTCTGTTCGCAGTAAAGCATAACTGATGTGGTCTTAGCTTTTTTCGTTTAAACTATGGCTCTCACTTTATTTCTCTGATCAATCTGTTTTTTTTGTCTTCAGGTCATGCCCAGAAGATTCGGTACAATGCAGATCCTCGGGGTAAGGAATAGATTCATCTCATGCTCATTAGCGATACAGCGGTTAGTATCTAAATAATAAACATGGTCTGCTCTACACGAGGTTTTTTTAGCAGATCCTGAATGACAATTCTCTTTTATCGGTGGTATCTAATCATTGCGAGTGTTACATTCTGGTGATCACCAAAGCTTATTGAGTGCTTTTTGTGTTTGATTGTTTTCACAGAGCGGGATTTTCAGTTGGTCCGAGAGAAAGATCGATCTCAGCTCCATCGTCGACAAAATATTTAAGGAGATTCAATTTGGAAATAGGGTACCTGTTGTGCATGAGTGGAAGGACTTGGGTTTTTTTAGTTCAAGTTAGGCATGCAGGCATGTATGCTATTTGATTATCATAGCACAGTTTTCTGCACCGCCGGCCAGTGGAAGTACTTTTCCAGCTGTGCTATTGTCTCATATTAGTAAATGTTGCTGTTTAGGATGAACTGATTTCAGCAGCTCCAATTGGCAGAATTGATCTCACACAGAACATGGAACTTGGAGAGAGGAGACCTTGCTACAAGCGGAGTTGGATGGACCCAGTCGGCAATTTACGGTCGGTTCCTGGACTCACGTTCGGTGTTGGTGGAGCGCTAGTATGGGTACTGAGTAGAATCTTGTGAGTTTGTAGATATATAGCCAAATTAGATTTACCTGAGAATACATTGTGGTGAATTCAAGAGTAACATTTTAAAAAATTCAAAATTAAAATTTTGACAATAATAAATAAAATAAAATATTTAATGCATGTAGTTGCAAGTTTGGAACTCGTGTTCTCATTGATGTTTTCCTAACCATTTTAGTGCACAGCTCACGTTAACATCATGTGTTCTGCATTCTCTTTAGCCTCCCTCTACTTTTATGTGTATCTTGCGACACTGATAGGCAGGAGAAACGCTCTTGCTATTGTTGTCCGTTGCACGGGTCTAAATGTATAATTTGGTGGCAGTGATACAACTCCGCTGGTGCTTAGGTCATTTTTCGGTGTCGGTTTCGCCATTTTATATGTGAGTGAAGACGGGGCACTTATTTTACTAATCGCGGATGTGCATGTATGTGCACAACACTGTAGCAGCCCCTCATCCCTGCAAGAAGCTCCTTCTGTGCTCAAGGGAGATAGCGCGGGGTATATCTACTCTTCACCTAGCTGGTGGTAAGTGCGGGCTAGCGATCAGTTTTTGCTGCATTTGACAGCTGCAGCAGGTATTTTAACAGACTTCAGGCACAGGCTCTAAATAAGAGTTTTTTTAGTCTAAAAGTTGAGATTCTCATGAATTTTGTGAAGTCAGATAGCGATATTCGGGTTGTGCAGCGTGTTCTCATCTTTCCTCTGGTTGCCACCTGCTTATGTGATTACCCGAGTTGCTATCCTTGTTAGGAATTGACTTGTTTGTTGTTGCTTGTTAACGTGTTATGGTTCTATTGACCACAATCTTGGAAGACACTTGCAAGGAGGTTAGTGCCACAGTACTGTTGTTTACAAAATATTTGGAGAGGTTTTCTGCGGGTATGTAATTAGGTGAATTTTATTAATGTTTCGTAGTTTTATCGAATTCATAGCATTGACTATGTTGTAGTGGCTGTCCGGATGGTCTCTTAACATGTACTTTATCATTAATAGTCCAATTAGCTTTGAATGAATCCCTAGGGTGATCAATGCATTTGGTTCAGATTGACTGAGGATTTTGAGCTCGAAAATTGGTTGATACAAACGCCTAGGTTATGTGCGAAGGGTATGGCAGCTTTTGACGATTGGAAGCCAGAGGAACAGGTATGCTATGTCAGTTGTAAATCATGCTCAGGTAGTTGGTAGTTGCTTAATAGAATGATTCTATGTGTAACTTTGGTTAGTAGTTAAAAAGATATCTTTGATTCCAAGGCAAAACGTTGGCACTTGTTCTCTAGGTGGGGAATATACTGTAGGATTTACAAGTTTGATCATCTGTGCTCTACTTTGCACATTGTATGGTTTAAGGTATAGTTTCAAACCCTGTGTGATTCTATGAATGATACTTGATTAATACTCGATACTGTAAAAATACTCGAATAATTTGTTAAACTAATGATTTGGAAAGAATTAGAAATCTAATGACAATTTTTCAGGTACTGGCTGCTTCCTGTTGGATGCAAGGGACATCAATAATGGTAACCGAATGTGTCATGCACTAATGCTGGGTGCCAATTTTTAGTGTTAGTCATAGTTGTACGTCATTGCTCTGCGGACCATGTCATGCTCTTCACGGCAGTATCAGATGTTACACGGTCGGATTATTTCCTGAGTATGGTTGGTTGTTTGCGTCTTAAGACATTCTTATGACCTGAGTTGTGAAGTATTAGTCCCTGGTTGTATAGCTATTTTCTTTTTGCCTTATCATCTTTTCATTTTGTGAATAGTTTAGTATTTTATTTCATGTTTCTTCTATTTTTTTTCTTCTCACGTCCATGTGTACAAAAAGAGCAGTGGCAACAAGCTTTTGCAATCTCGAATTGAAGTTAATAACTACCGGGTTCCCTCTTTCTGTGCTCTTCTGATTTTTAACAGCATATGCCTAAGCATATACAGGTTATATCAGAGCATCGTTATCCTCAAGTTATCACGTTTTGGCTAGAACCTGCAGTAGTTGATTATGTCTACCTGGTGCCAACATAGATTTGCTTAGCTTGTTACTACCTTGTTCAGCCTTAAGCTTCAAATTTCTGAATGAATGTTTGAAGTTCATTACTGACAAATGAACAATACAGTTCTATTGTCGGACATGAATTTCATTTCCGAAGTAAGCAAAATCCACGCTTTAGTACCGCCGGTTTGCTGGGTACCGAAGCTGCTATGTGAATGTCAGATATTTGTAGGACACCGATTTTATCGATAATTAGAGTCTGAACACTTCAGTTTACTGGTTTTAGAGTTTGATAAGTTGTTTGAGAACATCGCATGATCTTGATCCCCCACGAACATAGTCCTAAAATTTTAATCAACACTATCATCAAAATATTCTTTTATGACAACTTAATTGGCTAGTAGAACTCCAGCTGCGTACTAGCATGAATGATGTTAAGTGAAGAATTAAGACTCCAATTATTTTGAAGTACACAAATCTGCTAGGAACTAGACCTTGATATTATCCACTATTTCATTATTTGGATAAATTGTACATAACTTGGAAGAAAAGTATCGGACCTGCATGTGTACACGTGTACATGTAACGGAAGCACATGTGTATTTACTACTCTTTCGGACCAACCGAAAATCTTAATCTCATGCGATCGGATTTGTATATGATGGTTTATCCGTGTCATAACGGCCAGCATTCCAAGTCTGCTGTATCGCTCTCAAATCATTTTTTTCTACTTTGTAATTATAATACAAACTTTCCTTGACAGGAGTGAAATTTCACTTGAATTGGAAGGAAATTATGTAAATTATCATTCTCAAATCTGATGTAAGATGAATACATGTTCACTAAATTCCTTCCAAATCATAATATCTCCATGTTATAACTTACAATGAATCTGATTTTATCACATTTAGCTACATTATGAGACAGTATTAACTAATCGATGTTTATTTGAATACTTTGATGTTGACAAAAAATTAAATAATATACTCTCTTTCATACAGATACCTAAAAATTAGATTTCCCTTGGAGAATGCTCAGCAAACGAACACATGACACATCAGAGTATATTCTGAAGTCATCAGTCGGGATACGCCAGTAGGGTAGACTGATAATGGAACAGCCGAGTGTGGCCACAAAAGTATATCAGCTTTGGGATTGTTAGTTACTCAACTTCAAAGAAAGTCATCATCATCAAACAACTACATCAGGACAAGAATGGTCCGCTAGGGAGTTTACAATATGCCCACAAATGGCAAAAATTTAGAATACAAATACACAATGGTTACTAATGTGTAGTCTGAGGGTACACGAGAAGTTTAAAAAACTCCAAGAAGTGTTGCAGCTGCGAACACAAGAAAAAGAACTCCTCCCGTGTATCCGACCTGCGCAACCAAGCATGATGACACGTAGGATTAGATACACAAATATACGTCCACGCCGTACTCCAGCAGTACATTAAAACCGATTTACGGACCGTGGACTATACGATCATTTACGTCGGTATTGATAACAGGGTAGTTGAGCATTATAGATACAAGCCCTTTGAAGGTGGAGGAAATAGTCTCATGAGGCTCATAGATTGAAGTATTTGTACTTCACTTGATGATAGAAAGTGTGACTTCTAACATAAAAGAAAAAAGAAAAAAGAAATATATATATATATATACGAAGGAAAAATACTCACCACTTTCTCAGATATGTACTGAGCAAGGAAAGCTCCTCCTAGCACTGCAAGAGCAGTGGCTATTACATGTCCCGCAATGGCACCTGAAGCAACACCCCAAGGAGACTGCAAAACAAAATCCCCCTTTCATATTATTGCTCATTCTAAATAAAACACCATAGTGCGAAGCATATAGATTCCAATAATGTGAAATCGGTTGAAAAGTCCTAACATAAGCAGATTCAAACTTCACCTGTGCGGCTCCAAGAGCGACTGTCGCAAGCATTGATCGGTCGCCCCATTCCTGAAATCCCAAGCCACAATTAGAGATGTTATGAACAAGCAAAGGCACATGCATGGATAATGACGAAAATGCCACCAATTGCGGATTCATTACAACTTATTGTATTTTAAGAGACTGACGTGCCAGAGCATCATGTGAAAATGAACCCAGTAACCTAGAATCGTAATACTTCATGTAGATATGTTGATAAGAAACTTACAGCTACAAAAACAAGGCTGAACGCTTCAGTCACCACTTGAAGCGGTGTGGCTACTTTCTTAGTCTGCATGAGCATGTTCAAGTCAAGTGAAGTCAAGATCGACAACCTTGCCAATTGGAACAGTAGAATCAAATTCTAAGCTTCGTGCCTACTAAATCAAAGCAGTAACTTTTTCGGTTACGGAAAAAGCACTAGAAAATTTAAACCAACGTGAAAAGGACAACCCCGATTTTAAAAAAGAAAACATGCTTTCATCTCTTACAGAATGCTCTCTATGGTTACATCTAACCAGAAATACCTCTGATTTCTCCAAGAACTCCTGAGCTTCGGCAAGTTCGCCAGAATCTGAAGATTCCACTGCGGTTCCTGGTTGTTCGGATGGCAAATCCCAGGCAGCTTTAATTGACCGAAATCCAAACCATATTAGGAGAGCAACAGCAGCATATTCTCCAATTGGAAGAGCTGTATTAATCACAACCAGAAGAGAGGTAAGTATTACATCCCAGCTGGACATATCTAGTACCAGCAGACACACGATTCGAACTACGATTCCATCCAACATATTCATCCTGCACAGCAATGTTGCAAGACTGCCAGCTTTCAGGAAAAGAAAAAGAAAAAGAAAAAATGTGGCCAGGATGTCCAGCAGCAGAAAGGACAATCAATCAATATCTCAATTTCTTACTGGTTTGAAGCTGAGCCGGCACACTCTGGAAAATGCGCCCTATAATAACAGAAATTATGGTCATAAGAGAAAGGGCGCCAGTTGCTCCCAAAAGAACCTGCACCCTTCAGACCAGTTCAAGAACATGTAGTAACCACCTATAACAACCACCAAATATGATATTCATTTGCACTTCGTAAAACAGCACCAAATGTAATAAACAAACTTAGAATATTAATAAGTTGCGATAGCTCTATGGGAATGTTAGGTTTTCCTACACTGGAGCTGCATAAGTACACTGCAATATTCACATATTCCTTCTTATGAAAACCGTAGGAAGATAATCAGAACCATCCTTAGAGGAAAAAAACAACTACATGGTCTCCTTTTTCAAACATGGTGCGAGGCTATTCATACCAGAACTCTAGAATGCCGCATAGCAAGAAGAGCTGCAATAAAGAATGTCTGCAGAACAGAGCCAGCCAATTTGAGCATTCATTAATCAAAAGCGTTCCAGAAATACCCATTATTACAAATATGGCCATAATTAAATTTAGGGATTGATTAATGATGAAACAGAGGAATAGGAAAACCTACCTTGTCGCCAATTTCAGACACAAAAATAAGAGCGAATGCAGCACTAAAACCAGATTTGGCAATGGCAGCCATCAAAGCCGCAGGGCCTCCCTTGGACAGCGTCAGTGCAACACCTCCTAACGTCCCTAATCCCACCAATGCTGCTACCCCTGCTATTGCTTGTAAGGTCGCTTTTTGCTTGTCTTTTGGCCTACAGCACAAGCGATTAGGACACTGAGTAAGAGATCCAGTACAGTTCCTCCAGACTAATACCAATGCCCAGGAAATGTGAAAACAACATGTCAAGCCGGGCCACCAACATTGTAAGTGGCAGCTGAACGCAAGCAGAAGCACAAGCTGCAGAAAAGTAAGAACTGAAAGGAGTTATCGTAATGTGACATGGTTTTCTACCTTTCTGCTCTACAATGATTAGAGGAAAATGGCTGGAATTTGAGACTGTAATGCTGGGTGTCAATAGTACTTCAGTGAAATTAAAGCATGATTCTAATACCAGGATACTGTTTGGTTACGATCAGTTCGCCAAGGCCGCCGATTGTGTTCGAGACCCACATAAATGGGAGATGCTACAACACGAAAATACTAAGAACTGTAAGACGTCACCAAATGTGTTTGAAAACCTAACAATCCTCCATCACTCGTCATAAAGCAAGACTTTGGGATGGTGTCCTCACTAAACTAACACTAGGAAATCAAATGAAAAGGTGTGCGAGCATGACAACCAAGGCACATTATGGAGGTTACAGTCGCTTACTGATCCAGTGAGGAATTGTCAGCTTCATCTTTTCCCAAGTTAGAGAGTTGCCTTCCTTCGGACTCGAAAGGGCCCACACTCGATGACGCATGAATTCTTAATCTTTGGACAGACAGATGTTGGACACTTCGATAAGCTTGTCCTAATGCACATGTTGATTACTATGAGTCAGAATAGGAAATTATTAAAGAAGTAAGAAACAAAAAGGTGACTGAATACAACAAGAAAAGAATTGTAATGATCCCATTCGAGAATTTAGGGTTGAGAACGAGAATAAACCTGGGCGCGAAATCGGGCGAAGACAGCGAGAGCGAGGGATGGAGAGGCAGAGGAGAGAGGGGAAAGGGGAGCGCAAGGAGAGGAGGTAGGAGCCAGGCAGTGCCATGGCCATGGCAAGGAGCGTTTCGGGGAGCAAGTGCTGCTGCTGGGTAGGTCAACAACGGCAATGCGCTACAGCAAGGAGAAAGGAAAGGAGAAGATGAGCCGAGCAGCCTGACTGAGTGCGTTACAAGGGGGCAAAAGAGCACATCTTCAGCCCATTGCACTCCGCTTGGCACGTGGAGTGGTACCTTATCTGTGGCTCGCCCTCACTGATGCGAGCTTCGGAAAGACTTACAAAAGCGTTCTGTTTCTAGATTGTGCCCGGCTCCAAGTCTTTCCTCAACTGCTTGAGGTCTTCTGTCATTCCTTCACACTCTCCTCCCTCTGCTCCTACAGTGCTATTTCAGGTTACGAAATCGCGAGTCGCCCACAACCCACTTTGACCCCGTCCTCCCCGGTTCGTCCTCTCTTACGCATCATATTTTTACACACCAGGAATATCCATTTGTTCTTGCATTAACCCTGTACCCGGTTGATACTTCATACCCACTGTGTACTTTAAAGAGCAGAATATTTCTCATTATTCAACGAAACTGGTACTCTTGCAGGAAGTGGGGTGCCTGGTCTATTCTTCCTTCCAAGGACCTCTATCACCCAGGAGACGAGGTGACTCTTGTCCCGAAGAATCATGGTCATCTATGTCCTGTAATCTAACCGCGCGTTACAGCCTAACGTTTTCCACTAGGTAACATATTGCTCCTGCTGTGATGATTCCTGATAATCATTTTCATCTACCAAAAAGACTTGCAGATATCGCATCAGTGCCACGTTGTCATGCACAATACGTCGTCACCTGTGTCTAGAAACAAGAGCTGGTCCCGTTCCACATGACACTTTCTACTTCTTTTTCTCTTTCAACGTCTACATTTAGAATGTGTTTTATTTATGAATTGTCGCCATGTTAATGACCAATGGCCGAAAGTGGAAGACCTTGAGTAAAACTCATCTCTTCCAATCCATCAGCCACAGATTAAATCTGTAGTGCGCCATAATGCCTGATCAGCTATGTCCATAGAAGCCGTATTAAAACAATTGCTGTCTGAACGTCTCCCATTACTGAGGCATTATCATACCGTGCCAAGAAATCACAGCCGCAAAAAGTACCTGTCACTTTTCTCTCTCTAAAACCAGTGGTCAAGGGCATGTGAGCGATATCACATACGGTCTAGCTCAATTTGCAAATTCTGTACTGCCACCAGGAATCTTTATTTCACATCCTCGTTACAGCACCTAGAGGGATGGAACGTACTCTAAGTCACAATGCTTAGAGCGACAGAAGTAGTATACCTTCTGCGTTGAACTCAATGGTTGATACTTGTTGATAGAGCAAGCATTTATAAACTAACAAACTATGGTACAAGGATACTTTTTGTAGATCCAGAGCTGCTCTTATTCTTGAAAGAAAATCAAAATTGAATACATCCAGCTGAGACCCATTGCAGCCTGACCAGAGCCTGAAAGCATCGAGTGACGAAGATGTCACGACTCCAGTTTGGACAAGGATATTTTCACTGGCGTGTATCCCGACAGTAAGAAGATTACCATTAAAAATTTCACAGCAACCACAACCACAGGTGTCACAACAGCTTCAAATAACCGGTTATTTCATCTACTAAGTGTGTTGGCCCTGTGACAATACAACACCAGCAACAAAACCCAAATGTAAGAGAAAATAACCTTCCAAGAACATGAAATGATCGAAACAAGACAAACTCAAACCACCTACTGGTGTATGACTTATTGTCAAAAGATTGCTGTATCAAAGCTTTTGAGCAGGAACGAAAATGGAAGTGAGCAGGTAGATAGCTCTGAGCCAGTTACGAACCTAAAACTGCCAAAACTGTTTTTGAATCTGCAAAAGCAGGAAAAACCATCAAAAACATAAAATAAAATAAAACACTGAAATCATTCAACATAGAGAGAACTTGAACCAAGCTGCAGTCGTCCTTCTTTCAAGAACCAAAAGTCCATCACCATCTCGAGGCCCAACAAAACCATCAAGGGACAACTGCTAAAATACTGAGTCCTGAGTTGTACTGAGTTTTTTTTTTTTTTTTTTTTTTTTTTTTTGTTGCTTGAGGATACAACGATACAGTACATGTAAATCAGAAGGAAAAAAAAAAAAAAAAAAAAAAAAAATCTGTATTTTGAAGAAAAAATTAAACAAGTTAAAATGGTGATAAATACTTCGAGGTATTTGTGTACGTCCGGCATCGACAGTAATATGGCAAGGTAACTTCATCGCCTTCGCTCTGGTCTGTATAGAAGTATACCACGATGAAATTGATGACGCGCAATGAGAAGCATTATACCTTCCACTAACGAAAACAAATTTATTGACAAAAGCAAGGCTGTGAAGAGAAAATGTGATTGTAAATAAATAAAATAAAAAATTACAGCCAAGGGACATGATGATGGAACAAACCTGCAAATAAAGCATCTCTTCTTCATTTTCAACTCTAGTCACCACCTTCACTTGTGAACACATCTCCCATCTTCAAAACCACCCAAATCAAGATAGAACGGTTCAACAGTAATATCACACATTGAAGGACACAATAGGGTTCCTAAGATTGAGCTCTGACAAAATGTCGAAGGCACATTAAATGATGATCGAACGACTCCCTTGCACAGTCAAAAGAATTTACTTGAAATACAAAAGAAAAAGCACATTGAAACTACTAAATATTGCTAACGTGGCCCTAATTGACAAGGTGGCATTCAGCGAGTAACCATGGTTACGAGCCAATCTAATGTTCTGAAAATATGTCTTTTGCTCACAATATGAGGTGCATGACAATAGTAACGACTATGCAGGCCGAAAGCAAGATGAGTCGCACACAGTGACCAGGTCAAGAATAACTGCTTCTTTAGAAAAAAAAAACTGCTTTGCCAACAGACATTATGTACGAGAAAAGACGCGAAATTAATACAAAGCTAAAACCTCACAGAGGACGATGGAAAATTACCGTTGAAGAGCCTTTGGAGCCCGGTAAAACACCTTCTTATATAATCCAAGTGCGGCATGGCTGCAAACAATATTCAATTAAATATAAACATTTCACCCAAAGCGGATGTGGATTGAAGAAAAATTAAAGTCCACTTCACTTGGTGAAACCGGGGATCTGAATATGAGCAAAATAGCGTAAAAAAGATTGAAAACTATCATTAGGCAACCCTACGAGCAAGGCCTTGCTAATCAAAAATTGGAAGAATCCCAAACCACAAGTATGCACATTCTTATTACTTTGCGGAACAAACACAAAGCAGAGACTACAAATTCGCAAGACAGTATGCAGTTTGTAGTTGATTTTGCAATAGTATACCAAGTCACCATCGGATCAATAGCTTCACAAATAAGAGAAGGAATCATGTCGTGTTCAAGTGCTACAATTACTATGATTCTAGAAGAAACGAATTGCGAGGCAGAAGAAATCCAACCTGCACTGAGCAGCCACTTTACCCTTGCCCATCTTTAAATCATTTCTAACCACTAGAACCTGTCAAGCCAGCTGAGGTTAGATGATAGTGAAGAAGTGAAATTGACGGCAAAGACTGGACGAGGCAGATTGGAAGCATGGCACATACAAGCATAGTAACAAAGGATTGTAAAACCCTAAACCCTGATGCTGCCAAGGAATGAGGTGAGAAGTACCATCTTGAAATCTTCGAATTTGTCAGCGAGCTCTTCCACTTCATGCGTGTCGGTGTCTTGGAAGGGTAGAGAGTTTGAAGGAGGGTGGAGGGCGCGGAACGACTGGCGTTTGGCGAGGAAATAACCCAAGGCCAAGCAGCCGACGCCCACAGCGAAAGTTTGCAGCAAGGCCTGCTTGGTGATGGCCATGGGAGCATAGAATGGGAAGGGCAAACACCAACAGACAGTGAGACAGACAGACAGAGCCACCCACCCGTCACTTCACTTAGTGTCGTCGTCCCACGCCCTTGTAATCACAATCAAAGCACACAAAGTGCCAGGCAACTGGCTAATAACACACACACACACTCACTCACACACACACTCACTCACACACACACACACCAAGTAGCAATCTCGCAACACACTAGACCCGCATCCACATCAGCACCACCACCATCAGCACCAAGCAGCCACAGAAGAGAACAGATAAACACGTGGTCTCGTCCTTCCTGCCCACCGTCTCAGCGAACGAACAATTCAACACGAACGAACTAGTCGTCACGCCTTCCACATCCGGGTTGGGGGGAGCCGGGGTAGGAGGCTGATTGTAGTGTGAACGCGTCTACATTGTTGAACTCCACCATTTTCCACCATTCCTCACGAAAAATTGACAATATTTCCACTCCTTCTTTTTTGTATGCAATTTAAGCTAATTTTTCAAACAACACTTCTTTAACCTCAGAATTTCAAACCATTTTGATTGATGATCATCTGAGGGGCCAATTCTGGATATGCAACATGGTGAGAAAGTCTGTTTAAGTATTGAGAGCATAATCTCAGATTTAAGCTCATGCTTGTCTCAATTTTTCAACCAGGTCAAACTACAGTTGTTAGAAAAATTAAATGTCGAAAACATAAATCTCATTATTGATTGTAAGGTACTGAACAGCTGAAATGCTTTCTGTACAAGTCAAATTAACTATTTTATTCCACAAATAAAATTACATTTTAAAATGTACACGGTTGTTTTCAGATTTAGTATATACATCTATATTAACTCATAAATTCATACATGTACAAGAGAAAAAATTATGATTCTTTTTTAGCAACAACAACTTTAAATCTGATTTAGTATGTTAAGTTTAAATCTCACATTTTTTTTTCTCAAATTGTGACATAAAAATATATTATATTTGATTTTAATAATCATAAGAAGTGATTTATATATATATATATATATATATATGCACACACACATACACATATTACAAATTCAATTAGTTCAATTTTAGACTCCATAAAGTACTTATAATTTTATTATATTATCTTCCTACAGTAAAAAATTAATAATATAATATTTTATCATTATTAAGTGTTATTTAAGAAATTAGTTTTTTAATTCTTGTCATATGATATGGCATCAAGTGCCAAATCTTGTCAAATATTTGTAGTTTAGTTTGGTTAGTGGTTTTTCATCCATTGAGATTTTTTTGTTAGTTGACTTGTAAATGTCAACTAGGGTTTGCATACTTAGGTTGAGAAAAATCCTTAACTTAACATTCTTATCAAGTCCAGTCTTATGAGTGATTTTGAGAAAGAGAGATCTTGTTGTAAGGGTTTGCTTAGCTATGGTGATTTAGCCATTTTAGTAAAGCTTTAGGATTTTCTCTATTCTTTATACTTGCACTCTTAGATTCCCTATTCGAGATATGAGAGATAGCTTGATTTAGTTGTGTGTAAATTTATAATCTTTTACTTGACAAGAATGTTCTCTTTCCTTCAATTTGTAGTAGATTAGATTAGAATGAAGTAGATTTAAAAAAATAATAATAAATAAAGATCAAAAAAAAAAAACTTTTGCAAATTTTGGGTTGTTTTTGCTCTTATGTTCTGGTTGATGTGCTTGGTGTTGGAACCTAGCTAGGCTACATACTATAATATATTTTTGGACATTAAAATACACAAGTCAATATATCATCTTTTGTTTGTTTGTACTATCTCTAGTTGCTTGTATTGGAGAACTCTTGAGTATGGAATATGATTGGTTGTAAAGTATTGGTAGTAATACATACTCGTCATAAATACAAAAGCTTATTGGAGATGTGGTACAAGGTACTAAAATAATACAAAATAATATGAGGTTGTAGCATTGGACTATATGAGGTAGAATATTACAAGGTAAAACTAAGTTGCAGTGCTAAGGTGCAACAATGGAGTATTAGACATAAGTGAGGTAGTTAGTACAGGTCGTGGAGTTTGATTGCAAAGAATAGCAAGAGTAAGGTAGCCATAGAGTTTGGTTTGAATTATGAATAGTAGTTGATGTTGAGAATTTGGTACATGATACAAGAAAATAAGAAGGAAAGTGTAATACAATTTTGATTTTATTTTTATTTATATTTAATTATTATTTTTGAATTGCAATATAATTTTTTTGTTGTAGACAAAGGTTTTGGTGAGAAATACTATACAAAGATGGTGTGACACACTTTTGCATGCAAATTTGTAAGAAAATAACAAATTGGTAGCAACCTCCAACTCACATTGAGAATCAATGGTGTCATGTGCTAATACGACTATATGGTGAAAGTAGAAAAGAAAAGGTTTTATTTTAGAGGAACTTAAATGAAAATACTTTAACAAATACTCTTAGAAATATAGATAATAAACAAGGAGGTAGTAAAAATTAGTAAGTACCAATGTTGTTTTCTTATTGAAGAGACTTCTATTTACTTTAAAGGAGTATAAATGAGCCAAATCAAAGTAAATGAGACAAATAATTAATATAAGAAATTTTAAGAGAGAATGAAAAATAGATTTTTGCAAAAATCACCTCAAAATATGAAGAATTGATACCCATAGAGGACTAGTTGTGAACCAAGGTTGAAATGAGATCCCAAGGTACAAAATTGCGCACCTATGGCAAGTTTAGGGTTCTTTGGTTGATCAAAGAGTGGAATTAGAGAGCAAACTTGTGAGAGGTTTTTTAGAAGTTGGTTTCACATGATTTGAAGGCATATTGAGTTTCTAAGGGCTTTTCAAAGTGAGACATGAACTCAATGTTTTGAATTTTAAGAAATAAAAAAAAAATTATAAATTTGAAGGTTTTGTGAATGTTGTAGTTTATTTACTAGAAGAATTTTGTGAGGTTGTCATTATGCTTGTCTTAAATGTATGTGAGAAATTTGATGTCAATCAAATGATTAGATTGAAAGAGATAAGTGTTTTATTGGATTAAGATCTCAGATATTTAAAAAATTTGGTCAGTGAGGGTTTTTGTGATCCTACAAAATTTATCAATTCAATAGAAGCAAAAATTGGTGAGAGCAATTTGGACTTAAAAATCTACATACTGTCTAATTTTTGAAGCAATTGAATGATTTAGAAAGGTAAAATTGGTGCTGAAAGATCAATATTCAAGTTGAAGAATGAAGGTTGCTAACATCCAAGAGGTTTAGGAGCTTTTTTTTTGGATAAGTGAGTTTGATTTTTTCAAAGTTTGTGTGTTTGTTAATTGCTTGTGGATTGAAATGTAGATGAAATTTTAGTTGGGATCAATAGTTTGATTAATACTTTTTGAGAATTTAAATAGCTATAGTAATTGGTTAGGATTTATTTTGGATTTATTTGGATTTTATTAGGGTTTTTTTAGGATTTGGTTATAGTTAGTTTAGGATTTCATTAAGATTTGTTGATGGTAATATTAAGATTTAGTTAGGATTTAGGATTTACTAAAGATTTTGTTAGGATTGGTTTAGAATTTTATTAGGATTTGCTAAAGGTTATATTAGGATTCATTTAGAATTTCTATTTTTAGTACATTTTAAAGATTTTTTTATTACATATATTTTTTAAAGATTAATTTATGATTTTTTATGTTTCTTTTGTAATTTCTTTGAGAATTCTTTTAGGATTTGATTAAAAATTGATTAACATTGTTATAATTCAATAAGAGTTTGTTTAAGATTCTATTAGAGTTACTAAGATCTTCTTGTTGCAAATTCCATTTTACCTTCCACAGCCAAATGGTTGGTACATTCTCAAGCAAACTTCATGAAATATAACAGTAGGAATTGCATTGGCTTCATACATCAAACAGTAATATGTGCAATACAGAGATAGGATCCACAATCAGGAATTATGTGCAGGAAAGGATAATACAGTCAAATATTACATGGTTATATATCCATTATAATAAGAGCTAAATTGCAATAGGTCTCTTGATCATAGGGCCCTAATGACAATAAGTCCCATTTTACAATCAAATGGCTCTATTTAAAAATAAATTAAAATAATACAATTGTGCAAAACTCTTAAGTGTTGAGTTAGAAAGTTCAATTTTTTTTTATTTAATTTTATCATGTTCTAAAAATATATTAGTTATGTAGTTTTACTCTAATAAAATTTTGATATATATATATACATACATACATACATACATACATTGGGATTTCCTACAGCAACACCTCCATATTATTAAAGCAACATCGTACATAGGTACACTCTTGAATTATTATTATTATTATTATTATTCATGTATAATATGTAATTTTTAAAAATAAATTGATGTGATTCATTAGTTTTTTTTTTGCCTTTAAGTAGACAATATAAAAAAAAAAAAATGTAAGAATACTTTTTAAATAAGCATTTAAAGTTTTTTAAGTATTTTTTTTAATAGAATTGTAATTTTGGTATCTAATCACATCTTAAGAAAAATCAAGTAATATTTTTTTATACAAGTATATATGAATGTAACCATCATATGAAAATTTAAAATAGAAGTTTTGTCAGTTTTGTTTGTTCGAAAGTGTAGTGACCTTTTAGTGCATACTAGTTTGAAACACAAACCAATACAAACTAATACAAACTCTAAGTGCTGTTTTAAACACATAGAGAATTCAAAACCCACTACATTTATTTCAATTCATCACACACTTGTACTAAGATCATTATTGGAAAAATAGTAATTACAAACTTTATGAACTTTGAAAATAATTTGAAAGTCAGTGTAGGAAGCATGCATTTGTGTGATGAATGGGAATTCATATTACATTCCTCTGATGCTGAAGGATTGTAATTTTGAGAAGACACTAAAATAATACGCACAACTCCCTCGCACTCCTTGAGACCTGCTGAAGATGACGGCGCTGCGGCACCACCAGCATCATTCATCCACAAACCTACGAACACTCTCCTGGACATTCATCCTAAAATACATCCATCTACACACCCAATCATCCAAGTATTCATCCATCCCTCCATCCGGCCAGCCAATGTGGAAGGCTCAAGGAAGGGAATGCGGGTTCGTCCCCTCTGCCGTTTCCTTTGCCTCCTCCTCTTCTCCTCCTCCTCCCATTGTGCTTTTGGCCCTCTGCTTCATAGCCGCTCCCCCTACTCTGCTCTTCTCGTGCTCCTTGCCTACTTGTGCATCCCAGGTCCCGTCCCCCTCTGCCTTGCTCTACACCATGGTGTTCAACAGCGACTACCCTAAGTTCGACCAGGAAGCCCCTGATGATTTCGACCCCGCCAAGCCCTACGCCGATCCCGTCGCCTTCTTCGAGCAGCGTGAGTTTGTGGTTCGCGAGAAGCTTATCCAAGTCGAGAAGGCGAAGATCCTCCGCGAAAAGCTTCGGCAGTGCTACTGGAAGGAGGGTGTCAATCACTACCAGAAGTGTCGTCCTCTTGTCCAGAAGTATATGGCCTCCTGCCAGAATATTGGCTGGGGCAAGGATGCCCGTCCTTCTTACTTGAATCATCTCTAGCTTTTCTTTTCCTCCCCCTCTCGCTCTTTCCTTTCCAGGCAAGGGCTTTCCTAGTCCTCGTCGCTCTTTGTGTGGCCCACGACTATCCCTCCCTTCTCTTTCCGGGCTAGGGTTTTCCCACTGCTCGCGATGGCCCTTTCTATGGCCGGCCTTAGATTGCAGTCACGCACCCAAGATTAAATAGGTTTTCAACTCGATGTAATTACATCGTGTTGTGCAATGTCCGGGTCTTTTCCATTTCAGAACAAGGGTTTCGCTCAAGAGTTTCGTACTTGTGTGCACCAGAGTCTTTTTTTTTTTCTTTTTCTTTTTTTTCTTTTTTTCTCTCTCTCTTCGATTTATGGCTTGTGCATTGCTTCCGTTTCTCAGCATCTATCCATCTAATTTTTGAATTTCATGTGTGCCATCTGTACTCGCGTTTACTTTGCTACGCGTGCTTTTATTTTGTCAGCCCACACTTGACGGTTCGTACTTTCACTTAGCTCCTCACGCACTAACAGAAAGCTATGGTTTTCTACACAGTTGCATTCTACCGACTTGGATGGTTGCACCCACTTCCCTGAATTTCATATCCATTTTTTAGGTGTTACGTGCGAAGGTTGGAGAGAATCGAATTGCTATTTATTTTAGGGATATGTCGTATGTAAGTGCTGGGGGAGCTCAACATTGTAGTTTTTTTTTGTTTCTCGGTAGAAGTGATCAGAGGGCGTGATTTGTAAGCTGATCGCTACAGGTGGACCAGGTTCTAAGTCGACGACTTGGCCTGCTAAGCGATGAAGTAACTCGACGCCATCGAAGTGTACTGATATGTACAGGGACCGCGTGATGTGGCAGCTGTTAGAGGTGCATTGCGCCAAGCGTAGGTACACGATTCGGAGGGTACCTAGTTTTATTTGTCGCTGTTGATTTTAGAGATAATTGGTCATGTCATTCTATGACAAGAGTTCAATCATGTGGGGTTATGTTCAGGACTGCTTTGGTCTATTATGTAGTCACCTTTGTACTTTCTGTGATATCTTGCTTTCGTGCCGTAGACGTAATGAGAATTTGATTTTGGTCTCTCTACCACGTGGCATTATTTTTGAATCGTCACACTGTATTGCGAGTGCTTCAGCGTCTTGAGTTGGAGTAAGATGTCTGATTTTTGGGAGCACTGGTATAAAGTTTGAGGTCCTAGTTTAGCTGCTGCATTCCTAAATCTCTTGAACATGATTTGTGAATTAACGACTTCTATTACATTAGACGCTTGACTAGCAGAACTTGTCCTAGTCTTGAAGCACCGTTATTAATTTTACTATCCTGGTTTAGTTCCAGTCTTTCAATATCTCTTGTGAATGATCTGGGCTGACAGGCTTGTAACTAAAAAACGATTGACACTGCGGAGAGTAGACGTTTTGCATCCTCTCCGGTTTCTTAGAGTATATTGAATCACTAATTATGAGGGTACAGGTTTTAACTATGCACAAGAAAGTTTCATGCCGCAAATTTTTGGTTCTGCCAAGGGTTGCATTGTGTCTTAATGTGAACAGTGAGATCCTGATTTTATAACGTGTCGTAAATTGGCCTCAAACTTACTGTAATTTGTCAATGTTAGTTAGATTTGCTGTCCGAATGTGTGTTGTCGACCTGAAAACTCCATAATCACAGTTAATTGACCTTACAAATTACAGGCACCACCATGCTCACATGCATACTTCCCATCTTCACTGCATCATGCGAATTTCTTCAACAGTTCTCAAAGGTCATGAGTACTCAAACAAAGTCATGACTGATTCTTAAGTGAAGTCAATATGCACATACATCTAAGTTAATGCCTCTAAGTAGTTCCTAAGTTACGATAGTCTTAATTTTTAATTTTCAATACAGTCGAGTCCAAATCCATTTCTATTGAAAGTTACATAAATAATCAAGTAGCTTAGTTGTGATTTCTACTTGACACTTAATCTTTCTATGTAATTTTTAAAAAAAAAGAAAAAAAGAAAAAAAGCTGTAACTTTAATAGTAAATAATTAAGATGTATTGTAGCAATCTCTAGACTTATACTGAATGTAATTTCTTTACATTGTATATTGTATAGTTTATGATTTCACGTCATTACTTGATTCTATTATTAGAACTACATTTTAAATAAGTATATCAACTTAAAAGTTATGTTCTTCATTACTTAGAGGTTTTTACTTAACTTTTATCCCGATTCCAATTTTTTCTTCTTTGTACAAACACGTTTATAAAAACAATATATGTTGTGCAACTCAAACATGTACAAGTAAAAAATTATTGTACATGTGTTTGTTAATTTTTTGACATTGTAGTTCTAAGATTGTTTCATTCTTTTTATTTTACACCCTTCAATTGTGTCTAATGTCTTGGTCAACAAAAAGCACTGTTTTGTTATGTGATGAATTCATTTTAGTAAATTAATAAACTGTATTTTCAAAAATGTGTGTGTGTGTTTTAATTATTATTATTATTATATTTATTTTTCTAAAACTGTGTGTCTGTGTATATGTGTTTGTATGTCTCTGTGCTTGATTTTTTAAAACATTGCTCTATATAACCAAGTTGTTGTTAAATCAGTTACTGTGGTTTGACTACAATCCATGGTTACTAGATGCTGTATGCAATCAAACATAAAAACACTGCATGTATTTCGTGTTCGTCTGTAGTTTCTAGTTGCAAGGATAATAAGATTGTATTTTTCTATTAATAAAAATATTCTTAATTTTTTTACAAATGAGCTTGAGCATAAAATTTTATAACATTTTGTAAATACTATTACATTGGTTAATATATGTATAAATTTACAAGCACACAACAATTGTGAGTCCCTGTCCCCAGGAGCAAGCACTCAACAACAACCCAGAGGGAGGGAGGGAGAGGCTGAGGCGTGGAAACCAAGGCCAGAGCCTCGGATGCAGGTCCGGTGCCCATATAGGTTTGGGAGTAGTCATCACTCCGACCCCAGCCCAGCCCAGCATAGCACAGGGCTGCTCTCCAGTGTGTTTGTGTTTGTGTGTCGAATACTTGCGGAGCTGTTTTGTCAGTGTTACCGTGTTACCCTGTGTGGCATTCTACTCGACTTTTTCTTCCTCGTCTTCCTCTGCCTCTCGTTCTCCCGCTCGTCATTCCCCGCCCTCGCAGGCCTCTCGCTGGGAATGGAGGACGCTGACTGGGTGGACGCTGCTCCCACCAACCCCCCCCCCTCCTCCTCCTCTTACCTCGCTTCCCGTGATCACAGCTCTCTCATCGCGTCCAAACTCTTGCAGGGCTGGACTCTCCTCGCCGAGTCCTGCCCCCAATGCCTCACTCCTCTCGTGCGTAATCGTCAGAAACAGGTGTATTGTGTTTCGTGCTCCCAATGGCTCTTGACTCAAGATCAATTAGCTCTTAAGCTCGCAGCCCAGCATGTGCATGAGAACTCTCCCCCTCCTTCAACGCCGCCGCAGCAGCAGCAACAACAACCGTCCAGCAAAGTGCCGACCACGCACATGCGAGTGGCTAGCCTTCGTGACGATGCCTCCGCTCTGGATGAGAGGAGCCCCAAGCGCCTCGCGTGCACCGATGTTCTTCCTGGTCTGAATTTCCCCTTCCTTCCTTCCTTCCTTCGGCTCCCCTTTTCGATGTCCCACACGTTTCTGGAATTCGTTGCTCGATGGGTGCTCTCTCTTCCTGGTTATGGCCGTGACCAGTTTCAATTCGCGGACATCTGGTGTTCACAATGCAAGGCTGCATAGGATTTACGGTGGATACGAGGTGATAAAAATGAGACCTAATCAATTCCAGTTTGCCGATCGGGCTGGGTCACGCAGAAGTTGCTTCCCGTAGTCTCATGGAGGGTCACGTGCTTGGTGCAGGAACCTCTGTCAATATGCGTGATGACGCCAACTTGGCATCTGTTGCAGGACCAGCAGACCGATCGATCCCCAATCTTCCAGAGGTGGCTGTTGTGCGTGTTGATTGGATAATTGTTGTAGAATCTCAAACTTATTTCAGGTGTTCAGTTTATCCATTGCCTCAAGAGGTTGGATGTCGCTTAACCTGAAATGGTTCTCATACGTGCAGGTAGAATCCACTGACTTTCCGTCTACTGTGCTGTCCAACACCATTTCCACTCTTTTTCAAAAGCTCGAGGTAAGGCCATCTACCCCAGTTTGCAAAAAACGCTACCATACTCCAGTTATTTATTTATTTATTTGTTTATATTTATTTGAAATTTTAGTTTTGAAGATTACATCCCATTAATCTTATATTGTGCTGTTGATTATATGGTTGCAATTATCAATGTTTAATTAAGTGAGAAACACTGATATTAGTTTCTTTTCTTTTCGCGAAGGAACTTCGCCAATCTATTGCTGCGTGTCATGATGTTCGTGAGCTGAATCAGGTTATTATTTTTTTCCTTCCTCTCCGCATTAGTGTGCACTAGTCCATTTGGATGTTGTGATTATTACATACTTTTATTATTATTATTATTATTATTATTATTATTGAGTGATTATTGGTGGGACATGCAGCTGCTGGGCGCGCTGGGAGAAAGCATGCAAGCGATTCAAAGAACTAAGGATCTTCTTCATGCATGGACCATGTAGGCAGAAATCTAGGGGAGGCTTATCATTTAGATTGGAAACCAGTAGTAAGCATGCGCAGCGATTCTTTACCATACACAGCAGGGGACTTGAGCCGGAAATCAGATTCTACTGTAGTCTCAGTTGTACAAGCATTTTTACTGATAACTCCAACTTGATTGAGAGCAAGACACTACTCCCATACTTACAATGAAATTGTGTGCAACTCGCATCGAACGTGATACAGCGCAAGTGGTGGGCAGACCGAATTTTTAGATTGAAAACTGGCAGGGTCACTAATTCGAGAATCACCGATATTTCGACTATCATGAATCATTGCAAAAAAATGTGATAACCATAATCTTTTACTTATGCATAACGTCACAGTTGATAACTTCTGTAGCATTCAGAAGAACTGATAGTCTGTTGAAGATACCTGCTTCATTCTTCAAGTAACACCCCCACAACAGTTAACACACTTGCCAACAGTGCCCTAAGGGTTCATGGTAGCTCCGCATCTCAAATCCACCATTTCGGTTGGGAGATACTAGATTTAGGGCATTTCAATTCAACACATCCGAGCAACTAAATAATCTTAAAAGAGTGTCCCACCTAATTAACAACTGATTTTTACACAGCGAATCGTCCGTCTGTCTGAGATTCAGATAGGCTAATAGGAGCTGAATCATGTTGCATTCCTGGTGATCATTGAAAGTTGACTTCTAAGTTTGTTGATGCATTACACGCGCAGAGGCTTCCGTGACTTCACTTTGAATGACATCTCTACTAGGCCTGTGATGCCAGCCTTCATATATTGATCAGCCTTCACAGGACCCACACCTGAAGGAGTACCTGAATACATTCATTAACAGAACCTAAGCTTAGTTCGTGAGTCACGTCCGTTTCACACCCAGCTCCTGTAAGACCATCAACCATGATAAAACTAACAACAAAATACCATCCCTCAATCTGCAATTCCAGAATGCAATCAGAGAGTTACCAAGCGAAGTAAATCTTGTGCTATGCATAGCACAAGATTTATACTAAAAAAATACATACTAAGAGGACATGAATCAAACATGTAGTATGTACAAGTTAGATATTACAATGGCATGAGTTTCAGAATATACCCGTGAGTATAATGTCCCCTTCATTCAGAGTCATAATGGTGCTGATATAGCTAATAAGGGTTGGGATGCTGAAAATCATGTCACTTGTATTGCCTTTCTGTCTTAACTGTCCATCTACCTGAACATTCAACACAAAATGAATCTTTCGACCAACTTCCGATTCAGAGATACTGCAAGGGTTGATAATTGTTCCCTTAAATAGATCCATTAAACTCATCTTCACAAAAACCAGGAATCTATACTAAAACAAGATACAAAACCAGGCTGACATGGACTGCTCCTCTTAATTCACCAACGAGTCAAGCAAAGCACTACTTATCAACATTGCCGAGTCCAGAAATATTAGCAACTACCTCGAGCCACAACTCCAGGTTACTGTGATTTGGCACCTGCTTTTTAGGAATCTGATGCAGCACAACGAGAGACATTACTGAGACATTAATCCAGAGACTGAGGGTTTAGGGCTTGGGGTTCAGGACAATATTAGGTCAACGTTGACCTGAACACAGACGACCAAATACGCGATGACGAAACACTATTTCGCATGTTGCACAATCATTTGCCTCAAGTGGTACAAATAGCGATACCCATTCCACTGAGAACTCATAGGTTGGAGAATGTCAGAGCAAGAAATGAAATATGAGATGAAGGAAAAACTCAGGTGCAATCAAAGGTTTGGCACTCTTATGTCCAGTTGCTGAGAGATGAAGACAAAATTTTAATGTAAGGGGATTAGAAAGTAGGGACATACCAACTCCCCGTACTTTTGCTACAATTTCTTTTTTTCAACGCATGTCTAGCACTGGACACTGAAGAGACAAACACATTGATTGGATACAAGATTCTGCGTGCGATATCTGAGGAGAAACTTGTGCTGCACTAAATGTGAAGGGTCAAGGCAATGGGGCATACATACAAAATTACCAATAGGTGTGAAAGTGTCGTATCCTTTAGCTAATGTCCACGGAAGGCCCTGCTTCTGCGAACACAAACCCCACGCAAAATAGTCTCCGTTCCGTTACGACAATACAACATTCCAGCGAAAGTATTTGTATGATAAGTTCTAAAACATTTTTCTCTTCATCCAACAGCAACATTCTTAACAAAATGATGAGGAATCCAAAAAAGCGTGAAGTTGTTACTCTTAATAGAAACTCATTATGGTTTCTAGACACATAATTTCATTTGGATACGGGCAGGAAAGCTCATATGCGCGTGAGGAATCAACTGCAACCCTTATGATAGCTGCATTGCTGCTGTCATGAATAACAATCTTAGAAGAAGAGACCATGTACCTTAGCGGTGGCTTGCAATTCTCTTGCAGTCATGTCCAGCGCTAAAGCATAACCTGGCAGCAAACATGGCATCATGACGTCATCCTTACTATGTCCGAATCAGTCCGAGACTCACGCAGTAGATTTTTCTGAAACCAACAAACGAAAGCACGGTCGAATTTGCGCAAAAAAAAGAAAAAAAACTCTTGTCCAAGAAGACCACAGGGCAACCTGAGAAAGAATTTACATGCTGATAAAGGATAAAATCAAGTTACCCTAAACAAAGGCACGGTTGGCGTACCAGAAACATGATCCATAGCTTGCGATTCCTGAATATCTCGACCTTTCTTGCCAATCACAACCCCAAGCTCTACCTCATGGTCAAGAAATGTACACGATGGCGGAATTTCAACAGCTCCTCCTTCCCTAACATACGACGACGTTGGCTTCAAAAAAATCAAAGGTTCCTGTACCAAAAATCGTGCCATGATCATCAGTCTCAAGCCGATCCGAACTGAATTGGGCCACCGATCACACTGAAGAGTGAAGCAGGGTAAACTCACCCATGAACCCAGCAGCTTCCAAAACACAAATAAATTGAAACATGATAAATGACGGAAGACGAAACCTAAACACCGCAAACCAATTATCATTGAAATTGGCCCTGGGTTTGAAAGGGAACACACAGAGCGAGAGTCAAATGAGAATGCTGATCAAACCCAATCGAAATGCAACCACTTGGATGTACAAGCAAAGCAATCCAAACACAGGGAATGAAAGGCAACCAGCAGGAAAAAAGCAATACAAGGATAGAATGAGGAGGGAGAGAGGAAAGGAGGGGAACATGGTTGGAATTTGTGCGGAGGAGAAGGGCAGAGGATGCACAAGAACTGCACCTTGGGAACGACAGCGCCCATCTCTTGAATATGAGCAGCATAGTTGCGGCCCACACCCACAATCTTGGTGCCGATCTGCACCAGCTTATTGCCTAGAAAAGCAGCCATAGCAGTTTACAACACAAAAACACAAACAAAGACACACAAAGGTTACAACGAAGAAAAGACGAAGAGAGCAAATAACACCGCCGAAGACGAAGACAAATAAATGCCTGCACTCACTTGCCGAGGAGGAGTTGGGGCAGAGCTCAAAAACCCTTTTTACTTCACACAGTCTAGTCAGTCCACTCCTATTTTGGACTCGCCTCACCATAGGTGCCCATGTTTAGTAAGTTCTGTAAAAACATACCACAATCTTGTTTGCATTATCAATCAAATCGGTTTTATTGGAAGCATTGCACAGTTGTAACGATCGAAGGATTGTGTATATTAAAGGATTATGTGTGTATATATATATATATATATATAAATATGTGTATTTGGGAATTATTGTTCTTAGTATTTCTAGTAATGATAGAGGTGTGAGGAAGTTGAAAATTTCTAATTATTTCACACCAAATATTGTAGATGAACCTTGATGCACCCTACTTGGTACACTATGGATAGAAAAGAAGCGTATAAGATTTGACAATGGAAGTATGTATATATAAAAAGTTTTGATGCATGTTTGTCATTAAATTAAAATTTTATTGTGTAATTTGAATAATTTAATTGATATCAATGTTATTAAAGTAAATAAAAGTAAGAAACACATTTGGTAGATGATTTTTTCTTTAAGAATGTTAAAAAAGCTTTATAAATATAAATTAGATATGTAGATGTTTGTAAATATGTCATGTGGCTATGAAAACTTATAAAAATTTCTTGCTTTAAGAAACCCACTATAAGAGCATCTTATGACTCACATTCTTAAATCACAAGCTTTGTGGTCCTTATAAAGCTTCCACATAACTTTGTACATATAAAAGCAAGATTATGACTTTTTAAAATCTTCTCAATGTTTTTCTTATATTCCAATTTTGATTCAAGATTCTTTAGTTCTTTATATTTAGCAATAGACACTAATATCTTTATACTTCATAAATATATAAAAATTTGACTTTGTTATGAAGTGTAACAATCAATGCTTTGAGTTTTGTTTCAGAAGTTGCCCAATTGTATCTCAACATTTTTCATGATTTGTAACAACAACTATGATATATGAGAACTGAAATAAAAAATAAGAGACATCTAGATTGATGCTATATAATTTAAGCTTCTTGCAACATAAGAGAAGATTAGACAATGACACTGATTTGCATTTGAACTATAGACATGCTAAATAAATTGCATAATATTATTAATAGAAGAAACACAATTACAAAACAAAGAGTATAATTATAAAAAAAAAATGATAATGTATTAGAAAACAATTTTTTAAAATTACAATAGAAATTGTGCAAGTAAATTCTTGTACATCAACATCTTATTATGATGTTTTATTGTTATTATAGCATTATATTTTTCTATAGTAAAAGTTTATTCAGAACTTAAAAGTTGCGTAATTTCTATCTTTGCTAGAATATATTTAAAACTATATGCTTGTTTTTTTATGAATGATTTGTTAAAAATTACTAGCAGATGACAAATTTGACCTTTTTTTTTCGGGTCTTTTAGTACACATGCCTGCCGAAGTCAATTACTGTCCTAGATGTCTTGGTAATAAGCCAACGTGACTAGTTTCGCAATGGGAGAGAGACACAGAGCGCAGCAAGCAAGCAAGCAATGGGGGGGGGGGTACCCACAGTTCGGAAGGAACACAAAACACGAGTGGGATGGCTAGTATGAATGGGTAACTTGAGTGAAAGAGAGAGAGAGTGTGGGTTTGTGCTGGATGAGAAGATGGGTCAGCGTTCCTACACACACTAGGCAGTGGATAGTGCTAGTGCTAATGTTAGTTAGTTTGTGTGTGTTTGTGTGTTCGTGTGTGTGGCCTGGTGCCTGGGCCCCATGCATGCATTCAGTGTTTTCTCAACCCTACCATCGGCGTTGTGCTGGTGGAGGTGGAGGTGGGTCAGAGGGGCGGAGGAGCAGCTTCGGAGCGGGGCATCAGGAGGCAAAGCGAGCAGGAGGGAGGAGGAGAATCCATTCATTCCAGCCTTCGTGTGCAGTGGTGACGACGATCCATCCATGCAATGCTTTCGGCCTCGTTGTGTCTCTTCTGCTGAGTGCCGTGTGTGTAACGCAGGAGGAGGACGAGGAGGAGGCATGCCGCTCCTGCTTCTGTTGCTGCTCTTTTCCCAGCTCGCATCCATCACCGACGCGCTCCCCGGGTCTGCTATGGTTGCATCCCACCTCCATTTGCTCTGCAACAAGTGTCCGCGCTCTTATCTCTCCCTTTCCACCGTCTTCCCTGTTGCATCGCTCCCCCCCAGCTTCCCCTCATCTCGCTGGCATCCCTTCTACTCTTATTCCTTTTCTGTCCTTAGTATCCCTCCCACTCCGTCCGCTATATTGTGCACATTCTACTTTTCTTCACTAATCTTTATGCGCCCCACCCGTAGCTAATAAATTGCAAAGTCTCTCTTTGCACGTCTTCACTGCTTGCTTCTCTTCTGTGCCTGCCTGCCTGCCTGCTTGCCATCTAGCACCCTTGTGTACTTTGACTTTCAATTGTCGCAACCTCATCACGCTCTTCTTCTCCGCCCCTTTCCTTTGTTTTCATTTAGTACGCCGATTCCCAATTCCACGCTTACGACTCCTCCCTCCCCACCCTCATGGCATTGCCTCTTACTGTAACCATGCGTTTTATCTGATGTACCACGGCTGCTCTCTCTCACTCAAGTCCTCATTTATACCACCACCCCCGCAGCCATGGCCGCTATCAATGTCCTCCGCCTCTCCTGCGCTCCCTCTACCATGGCTCCCCACTTCTGGAACCATCCTGCCTCCCGCCGTGTGGCGACTCGCTTTGTCGTGTGCTCCGCTTCGGGTGCTGCTGCCTTTCCTTCGGACTCCTTTCCTAAGGCCAGTCACCTTTCCCACTTTAATTCAACTCCATCTCTCTGTGTGGGTACCTCTCTGATTTTAGTTTGGCATTCTTTTTCTTTGCTTTGGTGATGAGCTCCGCATCCTGCTTATGAAATATTCATAGCTTACAGACTGGGGAAAGTCCTGCCAATAACGACCTGCCGAGGATTCAACGCAAGCAGAGATTAGTAGCAGGAGTGGACCAAAATAATCTTGTTGATCCATGGATGCTGGCTGATCGAGACAGTCGCTTCGCCGAGTTTTTCAACGTACAACTGCATTACAAAATTGCACACCCTCCTTCAGGTTTCTCTTTCTCTTACCTTCATGAGTGAAAAAAAATTGAACATGCCTTGAGTTGTACTGAATGTGAGTGGTACGTGTAGTGATGCTCATCCTTGGTTTTCTGCTGGAGGTTGCCAACGATGTTCTCATGAACGATTCAACATGTGCTGACTGCCATTTTCTTACTGACTGATGGTAGATTATTTCGTTCGTCACTCGGATTTTTTTTTTTTTTTTTTTTTTTTTTTTTTTAAAATACCAGTGCGAGCCCTTTTCCCGAAGTGACTTTCCATCATCCAAAGCGCTATGGTCGGGATGAATTTCTGCAGGCAATGAGTCCACAGACTCAAAAACTTTGCGTCATAACGGCGAGGAGGTAAATAAAGCAACGACAAGGGAACGCAACAATTTACCAGCTGTACTGCTGCATGGGTTTGGAGCATCTTTATTTTCGTGGCAAAGGGTGTTGAAACAACTGGCAGCCATTATTGACTCCAGTGTAGTAGCATTCGATCGACCGGGTTTCGGGCTGACTAGCAGGCCCAAACCGTTAGCAGGGCCAGCTGAGAAGACTGGAAAACTGAATCCATACAGCGTTAAGTTCTCTGCGAAAGCAGCACTGTCATTTGCAGAGTTTCTTCATTCAGAACAAGTGATCCTCATTGGGTAGGTATGATGCTCAACCTAGTCAAAGTTCTCAATATGGTTTTCTTATTCTGTTTTCGGTCTCGGCCTCTTACTGGACGTGCCCTTTATGATAATGATTCTCAGATGCGTCAAAGAAGTCTAGGCTAACCTTGAAATTGCAAGTTGGATTCGTCATTTTCGTCAGTCATAAAGCATGTACTTATAGAATAGCGCGGGGATTTTTGATAGACACTCTGCAGGCTGTCTTGTAGCATTCCAGGCCTATTTAGATGCTCCTGAGAAAGTTGCAGCCATGGTCTTCATTGCGCCTGCTATTGCGGCGCCTATCGTTATGGGGGAAATCATGAAGGCGACCTCTGCATCAATTCCTGGTAACCAATCCTGCCCAATTCCAAAATTTCGATTTTAAAGGAATGTTCAAGTTAGCAACAGCGATTGTTTTGGCTGATCTAATTTCTTGAGCTTTGCCTGAACACCGAGAAGTTGAGGTAGGAACGTGTGCGATACCGCCAAAATTTTGTCTGTATGGAACAATCGTAGTGTGCTCCATGTAGTCAAGAACAAGTTTATACTTGGACAGTCACTATACCTGTATCCAATGATTCAGGGAATGAACAGCTTGCCAGTGGAGTAGACCCGTCCTCGCAAAAGAAGTTCAGACTAATCGACATAGTTTCAGCTGTGCGAGATGCGATATGGTGGATTGTGAGGCAAGTGCTAAAAGCGTTGCAAATTATCACAGCAGCAGTCCAGGCTTTATTCCAGATGCTGCTGCCTGAGAATTTCGTGAAAAATGTAGGATCTGGAATCAGCAGCGTGCGCGACAGACTTGTGACTGCAGTTATTCGATCTTCGCTTACTGTCTGGCTGGTAGTTCCCTCCACGAACAATTATATATATATATATATATATAGAGAGAGAGAGAGAGAGAGAGAGAGAGAATATATATACTCCCTGGATTTCATTGATTAGTGGAGGACATGTTGGTGGACGTTTCAGACTAATCAAGGTTAAAGTTCTGTTGTATTCTTGGATTGAAAAGTTACACTGGTACTAGTAAGGATTCTTCTGGTTTGTTCGCAGGTACGAGTGGTCATGGACAGGTTTGGGACCACGGGAGTGCGTATGGCATGGTATGACCCATTTAAAGCGGACGATATTGTACTTCAAGGTTACACCAAGGTGCACTTCCACAGAGACTACTAAGTTCACACTTCGCGTGTACAAATGTTGTATGGATGGTGTTATAGCGCCCCGAGTTTAAACTTGATGTGCGACCTTCTTTGTGTTCATAACAATGGTGATATCTTCAAATTTGAGCCAACTCTTTAAGTTACGCCATTGGTTGGAGGCGGTTTGATTTATGCTGAAGTCGATGCTGGTACGTAAGTATACATTGTACCCTGCACAACCAATGAGTGTTTGACATTTCTCATATTAAAGATTGTTGTGAAACTGGTGTTGTGTATTTGGCAGCCTCTACAATGCAAAGATTGGGATAAAGCTTTACTGGAATTTGTATTGGCCATGGCCGTGAGCCCGTCTGCGAGCATGGATCCAAAAAACCCACTTGGGAAGCGCCTAAAAGAAGTCACTTGTCCTGGTATGTTATTCTCTTGCTACTTTCTTGATTCCAACACATCACACCTTTAATGCACTTCAATTGTGTGTCGAACTTGTGGGCTTTACCAATTTCGAGCATCAGTTAATCGACCTCAGGGTTTAAACATCTTCGAAACAGGTGCAAGGTTCAGATAAGAAGACTTTGCAATCGCTCTCATGATGACTCCCTGCAAGAGCCCAGAAGTTTTGGAAGACCACAATAAAGTAAAATAAAATACAACACACACACACACACTCACACACACATAGCTAAAGGATGTAAGAAAGAAAAAGCCAAACAAACAAAACATCAAAACAAACAAGAAATTTTGTTGGTTTATTTTCAAATGATATTGTGATGATTATCTTCACAGTGTATTATATGGTAACAAATCAACGTTGTTTTTTCGACAGTCCTCGTAGTGACTGGAGACACAGATCGTTTGGTACCTGGGTGGAACGCAAGGCGATTAGCGGATGCATTGCCAAATGCCGAATTTGCACTGATAAAGAAATGTGGCCATTTGCCTCAAGAGGAGACCCCCGATGAATTGTTGACCATCATCGAAAGATTTATTGCCAAAACGTTTGCTTCGAAGCCTCTCTAGACGCATTCCTGCAGAGACTTAAATGACCTGTGGTACTGTCCAGGAGCGGAGCACTTTAGTGTTGACCATTCCCAATGTTATTTGTCACTTATAATTGATTCATGAATGTTAACATTTCCACCAATACGTGGTGCGTTTGAAACAATATTGATGGGAGTAACTGTCTACCTAGAGTATGGAACAGAATAATCTGGCCACAAGTATTCTCCTGCCTGTACTAGCTGCTTATGGAGGTTGTGGATCAGGTAAGAAGTGATAGAATCGGGAGGCACGCAATCAGTGATGAAATCAACAATGTGGAATGAATCGAATCCTTTGCAGAATGGGAACATCTGAACACAAGAATATAGTAAGCGAAGGATGAGGAACTGGTAGGTGAGAAGACCAGGTGAGCGTGGCCACCATCTGGAGCTGTAATTCCTTGGGTACTCTTGCTTGTCCCACTAAAGTACTGAACCAGCTCACCTGGTCATCTGAAAGCAACCATGAGGAGGAACATGGAGAGAAAAGGGTCAAGAAAAAACGAGAGGGCTGCCACTCATCAGATGTATCAATGCAGTCGGTTCAGGAAGGTTTGTTACCCACCTTTCCGAATCTTCCCTGCATCACTGTGTTGCCTGTTTGGCACGTCGCACCACACAACCTCCTGTATGTCGTAATGCATTATGTCTGAAAATTCTTCGCTTCCTGTGAATGCAAAGTCTGTGTTCCTGCAGGATATCGCAAGAACTGCCCCAGTCAGTGGTTTGGCCTGTCTTTCCTGTGAATGCAGTCTGCATTCGGGGGCTAAAATTCTAAAGCTGTTGTTGGAGAGTCATATTGAGCAGCTTCTTCTTCTCATACCAGCTCAATAGCAGGGCCCTTCTCCAGGCATTTTGACGTCTGTTTTTTCCAAGACAGAAATGGGATGAGGAGTGATTATCAACATCAACATCAACATCAAATTCTGTTAACTCTTGAAATCCACTTTATAAACTCGAGGTCCACACTCTCCTGAAAGACCGCTTGTTATGGACATTCGTATAACAGGGAGTCAATTGGGCAATGCAAAGCAGTGCTGGTGTGACATTACGTAGGGATGCACGAACACAACGACCGTGGGTTCTGGTGAGGTTCATAACTGACGAAAGTAAAAAGAAGTAAAGAAAAGAAAAGAAAAGAAAAGAAAGTATATGGATGTGTGTGTGTATATATATATATATATATATATATATAAAATCATAGTTACTTTTAGTTTTATTCAAAAATATTTATTTATTTGTTTATAAAAATGTGAGCATATATATGTATATATTCTAGTAGAAATCTGCATCTTTGCTCAATGAGAAGACTTCTTTATGCCTCTATTTTGTACCTAAGTTGTTCTATACAATAGTTATATGTCATATTTTCTCAAAAAAATAAAATATTAAGAAGTAATCTGATGTGGTATAGTAATCCTTCTTGATACAAAAAAATATTTGATATAATTTTTAAATTTAGCCTATCTGTGGAAATAACAAAATTTAAAAATTGATATTTGCCTCAAAACAAGTAGATACATTTGAATTTATGATTTTTTACAAAAAAAATAATATACATTCCATAAAAGTTAAAAGAAACTACTTAATAACAATATCTTTTAAAATCCTCCAAGATTTTAAGGAAACCATGTCATTTTGTAAATATAATGAAACAAGAATTGGTATAAGGTAGACTAAATTGATGTGCAAATATTTGATATTAGTGTAAACCTAATAATCCAAATTTCACTTCAATCATTTAGTACTAGCAGAAACTTGTATTGCTGGGCATTGCAATCTCTCACACATCCATCCATTCCTTCATTCATCCATGCTTATTTGTTCTCATGTTTCTTGGTTCTCATGTTTTTTGGTTCCCATATTCTCTGGTTATCATGTTCCCACATTGTCTTATTTTCATATTTCCATATTCTCAAGTTTCCTAGTTCTTTGGTTCCCTAGTTCTCATGTTCCTTGATTCTTATATTTGTTCATATATTCCTTGAATTTCTCAAATTCCTCACATTCCCTTCTTCATGACCAATTAGAAGGCTTCTTTGTTACTTTGTGATATGTCCAAGTTGTATAATAGATGGTATAAACAAAATATAATCATGATTATTGTTCTATTTCAAAACATTGTTGCCATTACAAAAAAATAAAAAATAAATATTATAAGTGAGATATTTAGACTCTTATTGATTGCAATGTTTGAAGGAAATTTGTACATTACTTTTTTCTATTAATTGTATGTTTGTGTACATACCAACAGTTAGAGACAATATTAATACATTGCAAACTTTGGTACTCTATATGTGCAAGTCAGATTTTGCACATTTTTTATTTGATAAAGATAAATAGCAAAAATTAAAATTACTTATGTATGGTTGTAAAATAGAAAAATTTAAGCTTACACACATATATGCTCTATTTTAAAGTTGAGACTTGAACATTTAGTCATTGCATCTCAAAATCATCTTTTTTTTTTTATTAAAAATAGATTTTACATATCAATCTAAATCAGAATTTCATTTCCATTATACATTTTATAGTATTTTTTGAGTAAAGTCTTCATGATTCTATATTATTTTTTACTATTTAATTTAAAATTAAAATAATGTTGCTACCAAACGTACTATTGTTTTAGTCACAATACATTAAAGGTTATTTTTATTATGTTGAATATTTGTAACCAGATAATTAACAGATGACTAATGCATAAAGTATTTAATACAATTAAATGAAGTAGATTTCTAAATTCATCATCTATTAAAAAATAAATTTAGAAAAAATATAAGATGGAAACACCTCTTATCAAATCACATAAATGATTTTTAATAAACTAATATAAGAATCATGGAGCATGTATTTGTTTTTTGATATTTTACTAAAACAGAATAATATTCACAAAATACTTTATTACAAGGAGATGATTTATTTTCTTCTCTCCCAAGATTGGTTCTTTCTGTAAGTTCTTTAGTTTTTGATTGTTGCAATTACTAGAACATTGTAGAAGTTAATACATGAACAAGAAAAAGAAAAAGAAAAAGAAATCCCTTATATATTTTACATGCTTATATTAAGTCGTAGTATTTTATTGGAAATTTGGTTATTAAAGAAGTATCATTTTATTAAATTTAATATGTTTAATTTTTTGTTTACAAATTTTATATTTTGTACAATAATAGACAAGATATATGTGTTAAAGTGCACAAAGCAAAACATAATTCTGGAATAAAAAAATTTGTAGTAATGATTTTTTATCATTTCAAATTTAGTTTATGCAGATTTCGTAACCCAGATCAAAATTTAACTCTGTGCTATTGTTCTAAGTTAAAAATCAACAAAATATTTAGTTATTGAATTCATTTTTTAAATTGAGAATGAATCGTTTTTAAAAAACAAAATTGAATGAACTTCATATAAGTGAGTAGAATTGATGTGTATTTTTTGAATGGTATCCTTCCAGATGTATCATCTTCTCATTCATGTTTTGTTGTTATCAATGTCTAATTTTTTTTGATAATGTTGGTTCAGTATTCCCATAACCGGAGCAGGTGGGGCAAAGACCCGGTATGGAAGGGAGTCAATCCAACAGTCAAAAAGGGTATCAACTCCGTAGACTCCAGAGATATCAATCCATCCGATAGTAAGGGTATTAGTCCACAAAGCAAAGTAGGGTATCAATCAGAAATACCACAAGGGTATCAGGTCGGTGCACGATGAGGGTATGGAAAAGGTATGGAGAGGTCGCTGGCGTGGTGGTCGCTCAGAGCGTGTGAAGGCATTTGCGCTCATTGCCAAGGTCTCCAAATCCTTGCGTGCTCGGTCTCGCGCGCCCTCGCTCTGTCGCCATGGTTTGTTGAAGCTCACATCTCCTCCTCGTACTTGTCCTCTTCCTGCTGCTGCATTGACTGCTTTTGTTTCCTCTCTCAATATCTACCGCTTCCGTTCGTGCTTCCCTGCCCCTTTTAATTCATCCTCTCTTCGCACCCCGCCTGCCCTGACCATGAATGCCGATAATCGCAAGGGCGAGCTGGTCGACCTCAAGTCCCAGCTTCGCCAGCTTGCCGGTAGCCGTCAGCCTGGCGTCGAAGACATCAAGCGTGAGCTTTACAAAAAGGTCATTTCTTACATGACCATCGGCATCGATGTCTCCTCCCTCTTCTCTGAAATGGTCATGTGCTCTGCTACCTCCGATCTCGTCCTCAAAAAAATGTGCTACCTCTATGTTGGCAATTACGCTCGCGGCCATCCCGAACTTGCCCTTCTTACGATTAATTTTCTTCAAAAGGACTGCCACGACGATGATCCCATGATCCGTGGCCTTGCCCTGCGCAGCTTGTGTTCCTTGCGCGTCAAAAATCTCGTTGAGTATCTGGTTGGCCCTCTTCGGTCCGGCCTCAAGGATGGTAATGGTTATGTTCGCACCGTTGCTGCTATGGGAGTGCTCAAGCTCTATCACATTGCTCCCTCCCAGTGTACAGATAACGAGTTTCCGGCCATGCTTAGGGCATTGCTTCTTAATGATCCCGATGCTCAAGTACGATTCCTCTCTACTTTCCTCTTTTCCAAATTCTTGCTAGTTGAAGCAAAGTAGTCTCAACCCCCGGTACTCGATCGCTTGGATTTGATGTAGTCCATCCTCTTGGAACCCTTATTCATTCTCGCCTTGGGATTGTAACCCTCACGCCTTCATCATGATAATGTCTTTGTGTGCTTGGTTATGCATTCTTTTGAATCTCTTTGAATCGCCTGGTGGTAACAACTCAACTTTTTCGTCCGTTTAGCTCAGACATACTCGGAGGTCTCTCTGATCGAGTGTGCAAGTTTCTAATTAAATTCCTTTCCTCTTCTTCTTCTTCGTCTTCTTCTTCTTTATCCCGCTTTCCAATATCTTTCATTTACAGTGCAGAAGAGCTTTGTTTTCCATGTTACTTGAATTTGTCAGGTGGTTGCGAATTGCTTGTGCGCACTTCAAGAAATCTACGCTGCCGAAGTTAACATCTCTCCGGAGACAGCTCTCAGGGACCGAGAGCACCTTCTTAGCAAGCCTGTCATATATTCTCTTCTAAATAGGTGATAAATTCTACGCATTTTAACCTTCAGCAAATTCTTGCAACCTTTCTTTTCATGTAGATGACATGCCAGACCTGTTTGAGTTCTCTTTGAAAGTTGCGACTCATTTCTATGATGTGGATGGTTGGGGTCAAGACCAAAGTCGTTACAAATGGTATTGGTGCCGCTTTTCGTTCGTACTACCTGGGCTAACAGTGTGTTTGTTCTTCCCTCGATTAGCATGTCTCATTTAGGTGTTCTAATTTCCTTTCTTGTTCTTAGTATCCTCAGTTTCCATTGTGATTTAATTTGCCCTGGGACTGGTTCTGAGAGTGCATTGTGGCACAGGATAAAAGACTTCACTGAGTGGGCTCAGTGTTTGGTTTTAGATATGGTCTCAAAGTACATACCATCAGATTCGGATGAGTCGTTCGACATGATGAACATTCTTGAAGATCGACTCCAGCATACAAACAGTGCTGTTGTATTGGCTACCATCAAAGTCTTTCTTCATTTAACAATTTCTATGGCTGACGTTCATCAACAAGTAAAATCCCTTTCCACTGTTTAAGTTTGTGATACTGTTCTTTATTTTGAGTTCGTGCAGCACGGACTCAGCAGATTGTGGTTTTCGTTGGCAGCGACGGAAAATGATTGAGTTTATTTCTTACTCGCAGGTCTATGAGCGAATTAAAGCGCCCCTGCTGACTTTAGTTAACTCCGGAAGTGCTGAACAGACTTACGCAGTCCTGAGCCATTTACACTTGCTTGTTTTGAGGGCCCCTGCTTTGTTCTCAAATGACTACAAGCATTTTTACTGCCGTTACAGTGACCCTACCTATGTGAAGAAACTGAAGTTGGAGATGCTTACGGCTGTAGCCAATGAATCAAACACATATGAGATTGGTAAATTGCAGAAGGGTTCCGCGTTTCTTTTAGCACTACTTTTTATAAACCGGTTTACCTCGACTTATGTAACTTGCATCTGGAACATTTATCGATTTTGTGGTGATTTTCGATTTGAAGCAGCTCAGGAAGTCAGTCTGGAATTAGATTACTTCACTCTTGCATGAGTCCGCCGGGGCGTGGTTCGCTAGGTTAATTTGGCATTTAGTTTTTCTCTTTCAGTTGGATATACAATTTCGACCAGAATGACACACAAGGAGAGGTTTAGTATAATAACTATGTGGTGATTGACAGTGACAGAGCTTAGCGAGTACGCAGCTAATGTGGACGTGGCAATAGCTCGGGAGTCCATTCGAGCTGTTGGGAAAATTGCGTTGCAACAGTATGACGTCAACGCCATTGTTGATCGATTGCTTCAGTTCCTTGAAATGGAGAAGGACTATGTGACAGCAGAGACTTTGGTTTGTGTTATTTCTTGCTCTTGTGTCATTAATTGTTGGTTGTTGTTCTTGTTACGTTTGACAAGGGTAGATGTTACTTCAAGACCAGACTTCTTTAGATTGTCTGCAGTTTTTGTTCCGAGTGGCATCAACCATGAGCTGTGGAGAATATGTAAATGGTTGCGAAATGCCGGGGTGGTTTTTTTTCCTGCCACCCATAGTTGCCATGAGCTTCATGCGACCGCAAGAAAAGATTACCATAATTAATTTCTCATCGGATTTGAGCAGGTATTGGTAAAAGACCTTCTTCGCAAATATCCCCAGTGGAGCCACGATTGTATTGCAGTGGTCGGTAGCGTGAGCAGCAAAGCTGTGACTGAACCAAAAGCCAAGGCTGCATTGATATGGATGCTAGGCGAGTATGCCTATGATATGCCCGATGCACCGTATATCTTGGAGGGGTTTGTTCAGAATTGGACCGAAGAAAATTCTGCTGAGGTATAGAATTTTCATTCAGCTCTCGTAAATCTGATCGATTTGATTCGGTTTTGCTGCGCCCGCATTTGATTATCCTCTTGTCGCCCAAACGTGGTGACTTGTGCATTGAAATCAGTCTGAGATGTGCATGATACCTTTTATCAAGTTATTATACTAAACCTCTCCTTGTGTGTCATTCTGTGTCTGAGAATTTCTGCAATATACTTATTCTTTGTTTACCTGCCTTTTGAAGCGAGGTTGCTAACTTTCATCTTTATTGGCAGGTAAGATTGGAGCTTTTAACAGCTATTACTAAGATTTTCTTTAAGAGACCCCCTGAAAGTATCAAGATGTTGGGTGCTGCGCTTTCGGCTGGACTTGCTGACGCTCATCAGGTATGCTGCATTTTGCTTTTGCTGAAGTGTCACATTTAAATTTGACTTTGATTGTTTTCTGTAGGGTTCTAGTTACGGTTCTGGTTTCAGTGTTCAGCCTACAGTAGGCTGCTTTCACGTTTTCCTTATCGTTTCTGATTGAATGAGTAAGTGTATGTTGTTTGCGGAGGTCATCAATGGGTCCTCGGAATTTTTCAAGAGTAGAGATGGAGCCGCATACTCTTCTGAATATAGTACTGTTGCTCTTTACTAGAATTCTACTTATTTATCTGTGGGGTTTCACAGTAAGTTGCTTATGAAGGAAGTATTTCATATATATATATATATATATATATATATATATCTGGTGAAGAAATATTATTTGAGTAATAAAACATCAAAAAGAATTTCGTGATGTTCAAATTTGGCTTCTAACTTTGGTTTTTAATATGTTTTTTTATAATTGATTTACCACTGATACTTGCTTTGTAAATGGCAGGACGTGCATGACAGGGCGCTTCTATATTATAGGTTACTCCAGCAGGGTGTGGAGGTGGCTGAGCGAGTTGTAAACCCCGCAAAACAAGCTGTCTCTGTTTTCGCAGACACACAGAGCAGCGAGATTAAAGACCGTATTTTTGACGAGTTTAACAGTTTATCCGTTGTATATCAACAGGTAAATTCGTCTTTGCTTATTTTCTGTTATACGGGACCTTAATTATGTTCACGCTTGCAAGTTTTGCAGTAGATTGATTCACTAGTTTAGTAGGCGTGATGGTCCTCGGTGCTAAAAGGCCTGAAAGCAGGTGAATGTACCTCAATATGCTTGATATTTTCTATGTTCAAGCAGCATAGGTTCATCATGTTAAGGGTATATGCGAGTTTGTCCAACCTCTTGCTGTACTGAACTTTTTGTGGTGAAGTCAATATTCGAGGCTTCTGATCAGGGGGGAGTTCCTGATTCAAATTTGTTGTTTGTCTGTGCAGCCCTCGTACATGTTTTTGGACAAGGAAGTCCGGGGGCCCATTGAGCTTGTGGAAGATACAGGACTATTGCCCATGGGACCAACAACTACTGATGATGTGCTGCCTAGCCAACTTGTAGATGCGAATGATAACGACCTCCTTCTAGGCCCATCTGACAAAGAAGATAGCATTGTAGCTGCTAGCAATGGCTCTCATGCTTATAATGGTCCAGACTTGAGTGGCTTTGACAGCTTATCCGCTCCTCAAAGGTTAGTCTACGTCATTTTTTTGTTGTTGTTTGTAAGTTATCAATACATGTAAAATACAGAAGGGTACAAGCTGCAGATAGAGAGGGTAACTAGAAACCTGTTACGTATAGCTTCAATGTAGTAGCACGGTTCTTGGGTTTCTTGCCTAAAAACTAAAATTCGGCGCGGAGAACTGACATGAACGTTTTATTTTTATTTTTATTATAGTCTGTTTGTCCTATCTTTAAGTTACCGTACTGGAATCAAGTTTGACGTTTACTATTACGATGTATTGTACAGATCACAATCAGCAGCTTTTCCCACGCCAACACCTCAGGTGGCAACTACCCCAGCTGCAACTTCTACCTCTTTACTGGACTTCGACGACTTGCTTGGCCTCAACACATATGATGTCTCTACCCCTGCTCCATCTTCTTTAAAGCTTAAGGCTAAACCTTCCTTAGATCCTCAAGCATTCCAACGGAAGTGGGGTCAACTTGCAGTTGCCTCGACTGTGGTACGTGTTTATGTCTTTCTGAACGTAGTCACTCGTCAAGGACAAACGTTGCTTGTAGTCTTTGTAATTTTCAGGATTTTTTTGGGATAAGGGAATGTGACTAATTTATCTTTTTATTTTTCTTCCTGATACTTCTTGGGTTGCGTGTTAAGATGACTACATAAACTAGCCGCCACTAATGACTCTCTTGCCATTAATTTAATCAACTCTTAAACTAAGTGTGCAATTGAAAATTTTTGCTACCTGATATTCAATACGCGATGAGGTTTTTAGGGCTCCTGCTTTGGCCGTTGATGTTATGTGAATCTGGAGTTTAAAGTCTTCCAGTATTAGTTTCATAAAAATGAATGCTTTCTGTGTACTCATATCTTCGTTTTTACCGCCAGGATCACACATTGGCCAACGTAGCTGCTCTATCAACTCCGCAACCGCTCATCCGTCACATGCAAGCCAATTTAGTGGAAGTTATGGCTTCTGGTGGTAAGGCCCCCACATTTAAGTTCTTCTTTTACGCTCAAGCAGCTGATTCTCCTCCAACATCTGGCTTTTTCTTGGTGGAATTGATCGTTAACACATCAACTGCGTCCTCGCAAGTAAAGATAAAAGCAGATGATGCTTCATTAGCACCTCATTTTCAAGAGTTGTTTCTTGCAACATTGGGTTCTTTTGGGTTTTAGTAGAAGTTGCAGCTGTCGGGGTAGCATGATGCGTTATGTTCATTCGGGAATGAGCGGGAGAGGATCTATGCCTCGCACCATGAAAATGGGGCTAGTGCATGTTCTGGTTCTTGCCACTTTCATAAGAGTTGAAATTTATTTTCAGTACATAGTGATACCATTTAGCTCGTAGAGCCTCCTTGTTAGCTAGCTGGCTGAATGCGGTCCATTGAGGTTATCTTTATCTTTGCACAGAGCTGACAAGTGCTGTAGGTTCTAACCCACTGTGCTCAACACAGAGCGTCCAGTTTGAAACAACATTGTTGTATGTAGTTAAAATATCTGAAATGTCCAGAGAAGATTTAACCTTTCAGTCCTGATGTTTTGCATTGTGCACCGCGCTAAACATTTAGAACATGATTGGGAACACACCGATTTGCTCTTATAGCACCTAGTGTTCACTTTTCAATCAGCTATCATTTTCTGAGTAGTCCTTGAAAAGCTGATTTGGAACTATATAATAAAAATTTGATCCACATAATGTTGAAGTTCACTAAGCACACGGCGATCCTTTGGTGCAAATGCTTTAAATCTTTACATTGTTGTAATTCAAGTGGATTATTTGTACCGAGATACTTGCAGCAGGGGCTAATAAATTGTCATGGCAAGGAGCAATTGAGACTGCTCTGCCTAGTACTGTAGCAGATTGAAGTTCTGTTAAAATCTCGTGAGAGCCATGGCAGACTTCCAGGGAGAAGCGACAAGTAATCAGCCCACAAGCCTCACCTTTGGAGCAAGCCTCGATACCGTCAACACTGCAGTAGGTAGACAAATCAGATCAGCTATTCACCATAGCAAAAGTCTGGATTTCTCTATTCCAGACTCAAGTTGCCTAGAGGGTGACACAAACTACCAAGTTTGGTCTTTCAAGATGACACGGATTCTGGAACGACACCAACTCTAGACTTACTGCATCAATCCTCTACCTCAAGGAGTTCCTAAGGTTGAGTTTTAAGGAAGGAAGGCTGTTTTAGATGCAATCTCCAAATCGGTACGCGACTCATTGATATCAATCATCAAGTGATTCAATGACCCGTATGACTGCTGGCTACATCTCAAAAGTCGATATGTGCCAAGCATGGGATCCATGAGGCTATTGCTACTCAGGCAACTGATAACCTCTTGAAAGGAAGAAGCTTCCACCATGGAGAACTATCTGAAGGAGATCAAGAGTATCATGGACCAACTAGAGGCTATTTTGGTGACACTACCAGAGGATCTTCTTTCATTGTTGCTCCTACATTCCTTGCCTAGGGAATATCAGCCCTCAGAAAGCTACTTACGGGTAATGACAATCTCCCTACCTTCTCAGAAGTTACTAGATGAGGAAATGCAGATTCGCATGGACACGGAGAAGGAGACAAGCGAAGAAGTTCTCTGGATGAGAAAAGGGAATTCCAGCAGCTCTAACAAGAGGGCTACTACAGCTCGATTCTTAAGAGGGTCAAGACCTTCAACAGAACCCAAGTTGCAATTTGGTCGCGGATCTAAAAACAGGACACAGCCACCCAGAAATTGTCCATCCTCCGATGATACCTATTTCTTTTGTAGAGAAAAGGATCATTGGGAAGATAACTGTGAGTTAAAAAAAACTCTAGAACAGATGAAGTGCTTAGAGCAGAAGTTTAAAAGTCTCGATAAAAAGTCTAGGAGTCATCCTTACTACAATAGAAAAGAAAAAGTCCTCTTAACATCAAGAGTCCAATTCAGAGAGCAGCAACTCATGCTGAGGATGTGTTAGAGTCTTATCTGTTTGAGTCAAGAGAAATCCACGCCCTTGAATCTACTGATTACAACTATGGCTTACATAGTCCAAATATCCTAGCTAGTATAGTACAAAAGAGCTCATCCAAAACCATTTGGATTCTTGATTCTGCTGTAACTCAACATGTTACAAGAAATCCAAGCATAATCTCAGTTTTAAAACCTGTAACTACTGCTATTATCGCAGCTAGGGGTTAATCCCATGACATTGCAGGAAAGGGCAGTGAGTACCTTCAATTTTCAACTAGTGAAATAAAACAGATAGATAATATTTTGCCTGTACCTGACATTAAGCAAAATTTGTTGTCTGTAGGCTATATCTTGGATCAAGGTTATACTACAGAATTTGTCAAATCCACATGCCTCATTTGACATATGCAAACTTGAGTCATTCCAGGCAAAGGACAAAGAATAGCAAAAAGAGGATTATATAGGTCAAATGCTACAAGTATTTTTCAAGTTGAAATCTGTAGCATAGAACAGTCAAAGGAAATAGATCAAGCTCTACTTTGGCACAAGCAACTTTGCTAGCTAAACTTTCTAGCCATGTACAAAATGTCAAGGTCAAAATTGACACTTAGATTACTAAGATTATTACATCTCAACTTTATTTGTAACATGCCAATTGGAGAAGCAAGTACAAAGAAAGTTTCCAAAAAACACATTGTCATCCTCCAAGCCTCTCCAACTCATCCATAGCATGTCAAGGATATGAATCTCGAAGGAAGCGAATCCTCAATATACTCTTCTATCACTGAAGAGAACTAGAAAGTCACTCAAAAGGTGATGTAATATTAACTAGAATGGCTATTGCTAAAAACAAGAAGACTAGAAAGTCTTAAAACAAGACTAAGACTAGAAAGGCTTTGACAAGAGTGAAGAAGGCTTCACTCTTGTCTCCATATATCTATCTAACTAAGAGCTACTTGGCAATGTCCTATAGGACCTCTAACATGTGTTGACTTTACTAGCCACATGTCTTATCTTTCAAGGCAAGTTATCCATGTATGCGCCACGTAGTTGGCTTGTTCCACAAGTTATTACACGGAGATAACTTGTTCTACAAGCTACAAATACATGGTTAGTTTTTTTGCCAAGTTTCTAACCTACAAACACATCTAAAGTCAAAACCATGTCTATGAAGCTTTTAGGAAGCTTCTCTAGAAGACTTGATGAAATTATTCTATATTTACTTACTTCTACTTAATCATATAAGTAACTACTGAGGTAAATGTATATGTCCATGACATTACCCCCCCTTTTAAGGATGAGTTCCACGAGGAGCGGTCTTCATATATTGAGGAAGTCTAAGATGCGGCAAATTGTATTTACTACATACTCCAATCTTTGCTCTCTTCGAAGATGGTTGATAGGTCCTCTCAACCATCTATAGTATCCCATACCAAGGCGAGAAGACCACCTTATTATTTGGTCATTGTTGAGGCATTTGTAACTTCCTTCAAATAAAACATTTCGAACACGGTTAGGAGTTGTTCCTACTTCTAATAAAATTACTAAACATTGGAAGTCTCTTCCAAGGTTGTGATATCAAACATGTTGTATCTCACCATCTATTTGAGGAAGGACATGTCGTTCTTGAGGATCTTCATTTTGATTTCGTCATCTTGAAGGTTATGACAATTACAATGTCTTGTTTGGTAAGTCCGCAATTGAAAGCTCTTGAGTTGAATCTATTGGTTGTTGGTGCTCGATCTCATCACAAATACTTAGAAGTTACAATGAAAGATAGAAGGTAGAATGTTATTTTCTTTTGATCTTCTTTCTTTTATAACAAAGGTTTGCTATTCTTCATCTTGGTTTTGATGGATGTCATTGATGAAAGACTTCAACTTTCTTTGCTGCATTTGTAAGATTCTTTGATGGCTTCTATGTGCGTTCACTAATATCATATCAGTGCCAATGAACAAGATATTTCAACCTATTTTGGCGCAACCTTGAGTCTAAGACTTCTTCAACCTCAAACTCTTGCTTATTATCCACTTCTATAGGAAGAGGTGGCATTTGTCTTCTTTCTAAGATATTCACTGTCTTATACGACCCTAAATGAGATACGTGAAATACAGGGTGGATCTTCATAGACTCAGATAGATGTAATCGATAGGCAACAAGATTGATTTGTTTAAAAATAGGAAAAGTTCCTAACCTACAATAATCTAATTTATCACAAGGACGAGTAGACTTGATATTACGACAAAGTAACCATACCTTGTCATCCATATTATATTGTGGTTGCTCCTTGCGATAGGCATTCACGTTGGTCTTTTGTCGTTCTTGAGCTTTCTTTAATTGTGTCTTCATTGTTGTATGTAGCTTTAACAAGCGATTTGCTAAATCTTTTATTGCAGGATTATCAACTTTTGAAAAGTCAAAAGTATCAAGATGTGAATGATAACCATAATTGGCAAAGAAAGGTGTTTATTGAATGGAAGAATATACCAAATTATTATATGCAAACTCTGCCAATGGTAAAAGAGTTGTTTAATCATCTTGATGATAGTTGATGGTACATCTCAAATACTGCTCCAAAAGTTGATTTACGTATTTTGTTTGTCCATCAATTTGACGATGAAAAGCTCAAGAAAGCTTTATATCCACCTTTAGAATCTTGATACAAATTGAGTCTCCCTATTTGATATAATATCCTTTGGTAATCCATGATGACAATAGATATTGTCAATGAAAAGCTCAATTGTTTCTTTACCTGTGATAGATTTTGTACATGGTATAAAATATGCCATCTTACTAAAACGATCTACTATTATAAATATAGAATTATAAGAACCTGAGATTGGAAGATCTATGATGAAATCCATAGAAACAAAAGACCATAGTTGTTTTGGAATGGATAACACCTAAAGAAGTCCATAAGGTCGATGACGAGGAGTTTTTGATCTTGAGCAAACATCACAAGATTGTACAAAATCCTTGACTGCCTTCTATATTTGTAGCCACCCAAAATCCCTAGATATTACTTCCAAAGTTTTATTATACCAAAAATGTCTTGTTGCTGGAAAGTCATGACAAGCTTGAAGAATACGTAATCAAGCTTCATATTCTGGAATACATAGGCATCCTTTAAAATATAATAGATTATTCTTGAATTCAAACTTAGAAGTATCATGGGACTTAGAGGAAGTATCTTTGATATCTTGAACAAGAGGATCAGAGGACATGCTTGATTGAATTTGCTTCACAGATGTTGAAACAAACGTCAATGTTGATTTTATAGCTCGAAGATGAAAATGCTTAGGCTTTAAGAGAATTGATCTTGGTTGATCAAAAGATGCATCCCCTTCTTTTGATACAAGATAAGAATGGCTAGAAAAAGCGTTCGATAGACCTTGTTATTTTTTGGGTCGATAAGTGATCTTGAAATTGATTCTAGATAGAAACATGCTCCAACGAACTTGACGACGATTCAAGATATGTATTGATATGAAGTACTCGAGATTCTTATAGTTTATATATATAATATTTGGACTTGAGGTACCTTCTAGATAATGAAGCCATTCTTGAAATGAATCCATGATTG